TGATGACAAAGAGTAACAATCAAGCAAACACATGGGATATATTGACAGAATCTGACAGCATATTTAATGTTCTGTCCTAATAGTCCAGATACTGTCATTGATTTATAAGTTACTCAGAGTTTAACTTCTTTTTGGTAATATTTTCATTGTTATCATTTTAACTATTGTGTATATTCTTCTTTTGGCTCTATTGAATTTGCTGTGCAACAGTTCATATGTTACTTGGAATTCCTCACATTCAAAGTTATTTTTCACAATAATATTCCACAATATTTCTGTACCATAGTTTTTCAGCCATTCCACAACTGATGGACACCCACTTTATTTCCAGTTCTTTGCTACCACAAAAGTGCTGCCACAAATATTTTATTATATATTGGACTTTGTTTCTATTCTTGACCTCTGAGGTCAAAGGGTAGTTATTTTTCTTAAATAATTCCAAATTTACATCCATAATGCTTGGACTAATTCAGTTTGTCTTTCCGTGACTTCACCAACATCAACTATTTCCATTTTTTATCATCTTTTCCACTTTTCGTGGTGTGAGATAGCATTGATTCTTTTTTTTAGAGAAAACATTAATGTTATATTTGTCACCTCTACTCTATACAGTGTATATACTCTATACCTTTATATATACAGTCTATATACTCTGTACCTATTTATCAAGTATTTTTTCTGTGGCAAGGCATCATGGAGGGCTTTGTGAGGAACACAGATGTATAAGGCCCTCAAAGGGACTTACAATCTTTTGAAAAAGTTCTGAAGTAATATAAGATATATTAGTTCAGCACAACAATGCACAGAACCTCACAAGGTAGTATATGCTTAATGGACAAGTAAATGGTAGACACATTAAGTGCAGCAGGAGTTTAAATGAGAGATAACATGGAAAATAAAATGGTCTCAAAAGCTCCGTGGAGGAGCAAGAATTTGAGAGCAGTCTTGAGGATGTCTAGGAGAGTGTATCAGGACAGTAAGAAAGTCCAGCCCTGGCTTGATGTGCCCAGGATCAGGCCTAATGAAGGCAGTTATTAACTGTCCATTTTGATTGCCATGGGAAATCTGTGTCTTAAGAGGCGCTCTGGATATGTTTGCTCCAGATAGGATCTTGTGTCCTAACCCTTATGGTGATGAAGAGGAAAATTCCAATAACCATAATAATTGAACGACTCTCTTTTCCAAAAGAAGAGAGAAAATGAGCTACAGCTGGTACAGGCTGAAAAGGGACAGCATGTAGTTGCCAGACTGCCTTGGCGAGCTCCTCAGAGTAGCTCCTACAAGTTTGATCAGTTTCAACTTTTTAAATTAAATATGCACTAAGGAAAGAAAAAACAGAAAGTCTGGGGGAATTTTTCCTCATTATAATAGCACACCCATCTGGTTTTCCTTAATTTTGCAGAGGACAACCATTCATTTATTCTTGTTACCAATTTCATCATCCCAACCGTCATCATTATAGCAAAAACACATAGGACCTTGCCCATAGCAAACGTGCATGAGATGCATAGAGATTCTCATGGAGACCAGCCCCGCAAAGGCCTGATTTCCTTTCATTCTTCTCCTGATTTACACTGGCCCCTAGACACATGAGCCAGGGCCGATTGTGTCTGCCACGCTCCTCCAGCTGGTAATCCAGAGAGAAGTCTTCCAAGGATTTAGGTAATTACAGAACCCACCAGGAGAACTCAGGGGTTATCTGGTCTCTGAAGTGACATTTCTTTATATTATAGAGTGTATGATATTTATATGCATATGCATATATATGTATAATACACATATCATATAGTATATATAAAATATAATACATATATGATATATAGCATATATAAAATAAAACACATAGCATAATGTATAAAATATTATAATATGGCAAACAATATAATATACATGTTATGTATAGCATAGTATATCTAAAATATTACACACATAGCATATATAAAATAGAACACACGTATTACATATAATATAGTATATATTAAGTATATTACAGTATGTGTAGTATATTTCTTTATGTTAATGTGTATGTGCATGTTTTAAGTCACTCGATATCAGGCTGTTTCTGTCAGAACACCTGCTGTTTACATTCTTTGTTTGAACAACATTATCTGGCTGTTTCCTCCTATTGGTAACTAATACAACCCTATTACATCAATACTAATGGTCTTTTAATGTTGCCTCATGTTCTGTGGGGAATGTTCTGCAGATTCCCATAGAGGCGTAGACAACTTCAGTCCTGTTAGAAGTCAGGTAATTAGATTTTGCCTGCTTACTTGCTCTTATTGTTTCAATTGGATTCAGAATTCCAGACGGGGACTATGTTATACACTGCTAGAAACTGAGTTGATAAAGCACCTGCTGCCTTGAACCCAAGAGGGGCGCTTCCTTTAGTTGTGGGTGAAGGGCGTGGTTGCTTTATGTCATTTTTCTCATGAAACAATGTGGCATTCTTTGGGTTGTCAGGGTTTTGTGAAGATCACAGGCTTTGAAAGAAGGCCAAGTCTGTGATACTGTATACTTGGTAAATGACAGATGTGAGAAGGGAGGAGGCAAGGGAAGGAAATAAACATTTTTTAAGTACCTACTATGTTCCAGGCACTGTGCTAAAAGCAAGTCTTACAAATGTCACTTTGTTTGATCCTCCCAACAACCCTTTAAGATAGGTGCTATTATTACTCCTATTTTACAGTTGAGGAAACTGAGGCAGACAGATCAAATGGCTTGCCTGGGATCACACAGCTAGTAAGTGTCTGGGGCCAGACTTCCTGACTCCAGACCCAGCGCTCCATCCACTTTGCTAGCTGACTGACAGATAGACGGTGAAGTCCCTTGTGGCTGAAGGAACAAACCAGGACAGCTCTCAGGCAGGCTTAAATGAGTGTTTCCTGAATTTTTGTTCAAGTACCTAGGCACACAGTGCCATTTCTAAGTGCCATTTGTATTCAGACTAACAGATTTGTTCCCATCTTCTCAGCAGAAGTCTGACAGACACAACCATCTTAAAGCTGGCTTTGTGCCAGAGCCTGGGGGCAGCAGGAGGGAATCTTCACCCACATTTTCATGCCACATCTGTGTGCAGTGCAGGGCCCCCTAGTGACCAGAACACTGAATCAGGAGGCAGAACACCTGCCTTGGCCTTCCACTGAATGTGGGGCTGTGGAAAACCCTCAAACTATGTCATTTTCAGTTTCCTTGTCTATAAAAGGAGAATAAGAATATTTATACTCCATTCCTCACCAGGTTGTTTTTTTATAAACGGCAGAGTATTAAATAAATGTGAGTTTACTGCTGCTATTATACTGTAAGGAGATGGCATAGTGTGATTGAAAGAATTCCAAGCTTAGAGGAGAAAAGCTGGATTTTTTGGCTTGCCGGTCAGTGAGTCTGTCTGTCAGCGAGCATTATTAAGTGCCTGCTGTGTTCCAGGCACTCTGCCTAGCACACAGTAGGGGCCAGAGATACCAAAAAAAGCAAAAGGCAGTCCCTGCCCTCATGGAGCATACATTCTAATAGAAATGACAACATGTAATTAACTAGGTACATACAGAAGAGAGAAAAGTCATCTGAAAGAGGGGAGGACAACCTTTGGGGTATTCAGGAAAGGCCTCCCCCAAGAGATAGGATTTGAGCTGGGTCTTGGAGGAAGCTAGGGAAGCAAAGGGGAAGAGGCCTAGGAAGACAGCCAGTACAAAGACAAGGAGAGGGAGAGTGTGGAGTTCAAGGAAGAGTGCGTTGGCCAGTTTATCTGGCTTATAGAATGTTTGGAGAGGAGTAAGGTGTAAGGAGGCTGAAAACGTAGGAAGGGGCTGGGTTATGAAGAGTTTGCTGGTTGTAGGACCTCTGGGCAGGTCTCTTAAGGTCTCTGAGCACATATCCTCATCAGCAAAATAGGGATAACACTTGTACTTCCTGCCTACAAGCAGAGGGTTGTTGTGAGGAAAACACTTTGTAAATGTAAGCACTCCGTAAGTGAGTTGTTACTAGAGTACTTAGAATTTCAGCCCTAAGATGTGAGATAGGTACAGTCATGTTAACATGTCTATACATTTTTTGTATGTTGCATATGTTGCCCAGTTAATTATGCTTCTAATAATGACACAGTATTAATAGAGTAGTCACCTCCCTGGACCTTACATAAGGGGCTTTACAAGTGTAGAATCACAGCCTTATAAGCTCTAGAGCTGGAAAGTCCATTAGAGGTCCTCTGGTCCAGTCTACACATTTTATAAATAAAGGATGCTGAAACCCAGAGATGTGAAGGCCCAGGTCACGCAGGTCAAAGTGAGTAGCAGAACTGCAGAGCTGGGATTCAGTTAAGCGCATGTCCTCCGACCATAAAACTATTGCTTTAAAAATATAAAACCATGTCTTTACATATAATTGGGGGAAAAATAAAATACTATTAAATATTTTAAATGAAAATAAAAAATAAACCGTGCTTCCACTACTGATTCCAACCTTCTACCCGTCTCTCAGTGATAAGAGAGTCAGAAATCACTTCTCCCACTTTATAGATGCAAACTCCAAGGCAAGAGAATAGGGTTATGGCTTTAGAGCTGGAAAGAAGCTTAGGGGTTATGAAATCCACCCCTCTCATTTTGCAGATGAGAAAACTGAGACCCGGAGAAGGGGTGTGACTTGGCCTAAACTCACACGGGTCATGTCTCTGAAGCCCGCTCCTCCCGACTCCAAGTCCAGGGCTCTATAGATGAGCCCAGTCTGCCTCGCCGCAGTAGGATTATGAGGAAGAGCTTGCCAGAGTCTCAGATCTCTGACTTCATCCAATAAACTTTATTCCCCTGTCCTTCCACTAGTGAAGGTGAAGCTCCTCGGGTCCATTCTTTGATTGTCCAACTGTATGACGTGTTTCAGATTCTTGAGAGAACAGAGACTAGGTCTCCTCATGGCTAGGACACATCTTGGCTCCCGGAGAGGTGTTGTGGGCTCTGTCACCCGGCTCCTCCCATTTCCTGACTCTTCTCCTTCCTGTGTCTCTCTAGGACTGCAGCATGAAGGCATATTCCGGGTGTCTGGATCCCAAGTGGAGGTGAATGACATCAAAAACGCCTTTGAGAGAGGTGAGGAAAAGACCTTGTAGCTAAGAAAGAAATATCTGTGTGCCATTGAGATGGTGAGGCGCTAGGAGGTGCCCAGGGAGGAGAACACCCAGAGTACCCAGCCTCCTCTGCTCCTCACTCAGGAGAGTTGGCAGGTTTTTTTTTTTTTGGCTAGGCAATGGGGTTAAGTGACTTGCCCAGGGTCACACAACTAGTTAAGTGTCAAGTGTCTGAGGCCGGATTTGAACTCAGGTCCTCCTGACTCCAGGGCCGGTGCTCTATCCACTGCACCACCTAGCTGCCATTGGCATTTTTCAAGGCCTGGTCCTATACCGTGGGCAGGCAGGCAGGCATCTGGGGCTTGTCCCAGTTCTACCTTCCTTCCTCAGCACCATTCATCTCAGTCCTCGATAGCAGATGATCTACTGAAACCCAAGAAGTTAACTGGGATATCTGGGCAGTTTATGGCTTCATTTGGAACCCTTGGCGGCAGTTAATATCAGAGATAATGCGCCCATTCATCGTAGCCCATTTATTATCTTGTGGGCTGTTAAGGTAATAGGCAAGCTTTGGTAATTTCCGTCACTGTAATGGATATATATAGTTTCAATTTGAGGTTGGTCCTGTCATTAAATCTAATTACATCTGATGTGAAATTTTCCATAGGGAACTCTGGGATGATTGTTCTCCTCTAAGTAGGTGTCCTTTGTTCTAGGCTGCCGTTCAGAGTAGCTGCTCCCTCCCTGTCTTCTCCTCTGTCCCCTGGGGCCTTGATCCCCAGACTGGCCTTGTGACTCGTAAGAGTAGCAGATGCTGATGGTATCACTGCCTCTCCTGCTCCCTGCCCCCAGCGCCATTATTCTCCGCTTTGTAGGGATTTGCTCCTGTGCCAGATTGGCACCAGAAAAGCTGGTATGGATGCACTCTGCCTTTCTAGCCTGTGGTCCTCTGAGGCTGAATGGTCTGTCTTCACCTGAGGCCCAGTCTGTATCCACCTGTGACTTTCATGCTAGGCAGACGGCTACGTGCCTAGAGGCAGAGATGGATGACCCCATATCTTGTATCTTTGAACAGATCCCTATAGGAAACTCCTTTGCCTTCTTTACTGACTCTTTGGAAATCCTGCTCTGAGAATACCCTTTGTACAGGAAAGAGGACTTTAAAACATCCCACCCTGCCCCCTCTAAGAAGGGGGCAGCCTTCTTAGAGATGTCTCCCACCCCACCTACTTCTTTTGTGCCACATTTGTCATTGCTTCACATTTGTTGTCCCCAGGAGAGGACCCGCTGGCCGGAGACCAGAATGACCACGACATGGATTCCATAGCAGGTGTCCTGAAGCTTTACTTCCGTGGGCTGGAACACCCCCTCTTCCCCAAGGACATCTTCCATGACCTGATGTCCTGTGTCAGTAAGTACTGCACTGTCAGACTGACCCCCCAGGCAGAACAAGCGTCACCCCTCCGTGAGCCTTGTGCCACAGATAGCAAACCCCAACAGGATTCTCTTTTCTCCTTCAAGCTCTGCTTTCCCCTTCTCTGTTCAAGTTTCCCCTCTTCATTGTCACCTCCACATCTGGGGGCAGGAGAGGGGAATCGATCTTTTTTGTTCAATAAGAGTCTAGGAGAGGACGCACAAGGCAAACGATGCTGAGCGTAGAGACCGAAGGCCTTCTTTTCCCTGTAGCTGCCCACCTGTGTGACACCGGGCAGGTCTAAATCTCTCCGGCTGTCCTCATCTGTAAAATGAGGTTAGACCCAATCACCGCTAAGTTCCCTTCTACCTCTTAACTGTGGTCCAAGAGCTGGAATTCAGGAATTCTGACTTTTTTTTCCCTTGACTCTGCCTCAGTCTTGAACTTTATCATTGTTCTGGCCTTAACCTTCTTTTTGCCAAATGTTTTTTGTATATTCCCATAAAAGGTAGTCATCTTCAATCATTTGAGACTTTTAAAATAGTGTCTGTACCTTCCATGACACAGAGAAAGAAAAGGCCCAGGCTTTGCCACTTTTTTTCTGCCCGTTTGTCTAAAAATGGCACGACAGTATCTGTTAGGCGTATAAACATGGCACCTTCTCATCTAGAAACATGAGTCTTCTGTGTATGTAAAAATGGCAGCAGACAAGGAGAGGCACAGAACAGTGGTGTCAAACACAAGTAGAGACAGATCCCCGTGGGCTGCATATTGATTAGAAGACCTCGAAAACTTAGAAAATTAACATTATCTATGTTATATTGTACTTTTATTTATCTTTATTAACTATTTCCTGGTTACATTTTAATCTGGTTCTCTAAAGTTTTGAGGACAAGTTTGCCGGTAGTGATTTTGACACCTTTGGTATAGACCCCAGAAGTAACATTAATTCTGAAATGAATTAAATTTTAGTTCAACAAAAGGGAATTACAGTGTAAAAAGATCCTAGATTTGGAGCTGGAAGAGCCTCAGGAGGTCACCGGCCCCCTCACTCTCCAGGTGTGGAATCTGAGGCCCAGAGAGATTAAGCAACTTGCTCAGGGTCGCACAGGATCTGCACCCAAGTCCCTGGTCCCAAATTCAGTGCTTTTTCCTCTGGACCGTGGTGCCCCTGTTAAATGCCTACTATGTTATGGGCTGTTATTCAAGCGATACATTATTCACTGTTTCCTGCAGCCCAGGGATGTTGGGCTCACAGCATCTGTAGCAGGCGGCATTGGCACCTGTTCTCATTGGCTTTCCATGGAGGCTTGGGGGCATTATTGCTAAGGTCTCTGGGAGCTTTGACTGAATGAGGGACAGCGCCAGGGGGCAGAAGTGGTGATGCTTTGGAAGAAGATGATTTCTTCCCAATGCACTGGAGGTTTCTGCTCCCACTCCGGATTTCTGGGCTTGATTCACATGTACACGTCGAAGGTCGGCCCCTTGGTGGCTGTTGGCTGACTTTTCTTGTTCCCCTGATAGATGGTCTGTGTGTCAGGGGGTTGTTTGCCCTGAGACCTTTTGCCCCACCTGGCTGCCCTTCCTTTGCCCTGGGGAGTCTGAAGGTCATCGTCCCTCTGGCTTTTTCCTGACTCACCTGTCTGTAAACATCAAACTAAACAGCTTGATCCTGCTGGACATCTTCAGTCCCCAGGCCAGGGCTTTGAACAGACACCTCGTTTGAAACACAGATGGGGACAAACCCAGACACAAACTGCTTTGACTTCCTGACCTCCAGGCCAGATTTTCTGTTCTCTGACTCTTCTGTCAAGGTGGCATTGTGTAGGCCCCTTCCTGGGCCTGAGCGCCCAGCCTGTCTCTGTGGGCATGTCATAGACGCCTGTCCTCATCAAGCAGAGCAGGCAGATCCCTGGGCTTGACTTTGCCATCCCTGCCATTCCTGCCATCCCTGATGCTGACTTCCCTACGCATGCAAGTGGTAGAGGGGAAACTGACTTTTGGTTTTCTGTTGTGGGAGAAAGATAACTCATTACATTCTCCTTTCAGGTATGGACAACCTTCAGGAAAGAGCCCTGCACATCCGGAAAGTCCTCCTTGTCCTTCCCCAGACAACGCTGGTCATCATGAGATATCTCTTCGCCTTCCTCAGTCAGTGAGTGTCTCCTAGGGAGCTGCGCCCTCCGGGGGATCTCAGATGAAGGCCCTGGGGATATGAGAGAAGGATGTGCATTACGGCTTGTGATTTAGGCTCTGTCACCTCTTCCCTTCAGAGGAGGACGGATCAGTGCAGCCTCTAGCACCGTCTCATTCATTTTTTTCTCTTTGTACTTCTCTCTGCCCATTCCCTGCCAGGCGGCCAGGTGACACGGGGGACAGAGCACAGGACTTGGAGTCTGAAGATCTGAGTTCAAATTCAACTCAGATACGTAGTAGCTGTGTGAGCCTGGCAAGGCACTTAACTGCTCTTAGCCTCAGTTTCCTTATCTATAAAATGAGGATAATAGCACCTACCTCTCAGGGATGTTAAGAAGCTCAAATGTATAGAGCTTTGCAAACCTTGAAGTACTATACGGCTAGCTAATATTTTTTTCTTTCCTTTTTCCCCCTCCCTCTACCCATCTATTGCCACTTTCTTTTCCTTCTTTCTGGTCTGTATCTGGGCTTGCTGATGGTACCCAAAGGCGCTTAGAGTCCCAACAGTTGGTCACATCTAAAGCCTGTCCCCACTGTGGCCACATCCACTGTCTTAATGACCCTGACCTTGACTGGGCACCAGGATTTACTCAGTCACTAGTGGCAGAAATTTACAAGCGGCCCAATGCAGAGGCAGGGAGGAGCTGGGAACCTCTTTCCATTGCTCTTAAGTGAGTCAGTCTTTTGAGTGATCAGCTGGTCAGCAGCCAGTCATTGCTCCAGTCCTGGCCTCAACCCTCCTCCCAAAATGAACCCCATCACACCCCACAGTAGAAAATGGGCTCTGCCCTGTTTCTCCAGCCTCTTGGGGCCACAGCTGAAGTGAGACAGTGTTTGGGGAGGAGATTCTGGGGATCTGGGCTGTACGCAACCAGAACGGTCCGTTTCTTTTGGCCATGATTTCAAAACGGGCAGTGTGTATCTATTTATGTGAGAGAGAGTATGTGTGTGAGTGTGAATATGTGTTTATGTGTGTGAGTCTGTGTGTATGTATATGTGAGTGTGTGTGAGTGACTGTGTGTTGAGGACTTACAGAGGAAGTGAGCAGTGTAGACTTACAGCTGTGAGACGTGTCTGGAGCCACGTTCCTCAGGTCTCTGACTGGTACTAGGTAAGTGACCAGTGTTCAAGAAAAGTTGGGAGTCACACAGGTTCAGCCTCTTATTATTCAGAAGACCATTGCAAAGCAACATTAGTAACCACAAAGTTTCCTAAAATAACAAATGAAAAGCAGGTGATAGAGAGGTCCTTGCTCACAGGTGCATTTTGTGTGCATTCCATTTAGATATAGCAATGATCGGCAGCTCTTAGCAAGGACTTGGCTTGAGGCCACACTGTTGAGATCCCTTCTTCTTCACTGCAGGATTTAATGTGTGATCTATCCCTATACAAGAGGGGGAGGAAATGAACATTTATATGGCACTATTATGTGCCAGGCACTGTGCCAAGCATTTTACAAATATCTCATTTGACTCACACAACAATACTCTCCTCATTTTACAGGTGAGGAAACTAAGGCAAACAGGTGAAGTGATTTACCCAGAGTCACACAGTGAGTCAGTGTCTGAGGCTGGATTTGATCATAGGTCTTCCCAACTGTGCTAGGAGGTGAAGTGGATAGAGCACTGAGCCTGGAGTCAGGAAGACATAAGTTCAAATCCAGCCTCAGATACGGATTAGCTGTGTGACCCTGGATGAGTCACTTAACACTGTTGGCCTCAGTTTTCTCATCTATAAAACGATCTGGAGAAGAAAATGGGAAGCCATTCCAGTGTCTTTGCTAAGAAAACCTCACAAATGGAGTCGCAAAGAGTCAGAGACAATTGAAATGACTGAAAAACAATAATTTCCTGACTCCATGCCCAGGGCTCTTTGCACTGTGCCACCTAGCTGCCTCTAGCTGTGCTCTTTTGCCTTAGACTGGCTTTTAGGTGCCTGTATCATTTCCAAGATAAGAGCTACTACTTGTTCATTCTTTGAAAGCAGAAAAAAACCCTGACTAGCTAAGACCATTACAGAGGCAGAGTGGACCCACTGTGTGATCCCAGGTAGCTGCCACCCCACATGTTCATGTCCCTTTGATACAGCCTCGATAGGCTGCCCTGCAGCTGTCCCCAGGGCTTGTGCTCTGAGGCCTCAACAAGGCAGCACCTGGAGCTCCTGGCCTCGCCTCTTAGGCCCTTCAGGGACCTGGGGGTGGCAGAATACATGCATGCTGCTGTTATGGTTTGCAAATGGCCAGAGTCATGTGAAGGCCTGGTCTTTTGGGGTCAAAGCTCATCAATTGGAGCCATGGTCCCAGGGCCGAAGGGTCAGGTGACATGAAGAGCTCTTTAGGTACTAAATATTTACATGATTTATGAAGATGCATCATGAGATCTCCTGCCCTGGAAGTCTGTCTTTTTTTTTTTTCCTTAGGTTTTCTTTACTTCGCTTTTTTTCAGTTAACAAACATCTTTCTCTCTAAGAGGTTAAGTGACTTACCCTGTTGTCATCCACCTGATGAGCATCAGAAGCAGGATTTGAACCCAGGTCTTTCTTGTCACATAATACCTAGAGAAGCAAAAAATGTAGTGGAACAAAGTATGTTACTATCCAAGTGATAGTAATGCTGCCTTCTTATTCCCAGCTCTGTTTTGAGAAGAGTGAATTTTTAAAATGTGACATAGATCCCACAGCCAGGCTAGCCAATTGATCTGATTTATACTAAGCAGCAAAGAGTTGAACTTTCTTTCATCAGAGCATCATAGATGGAGATCTGGGAGAGACCTTAGAAGCCATTGAGTCCAGCCCACCCATTTTATAGATCAGGAAACTTCAGGGATGTTAGGTGACTTGTCTAGGATCATGTGGTATTTGGGGCAGGTTTTCCTGACTCCAAGCTGGCACTGTTTCCACTGCGCCACTTAGCTTCCTCCCAGAAATGGTGAACCCAAATCAATTTATAGAATTAACTAATGTAAAGAATTGACAGTGCAGACATGAAATAGAGAACCAACAATATTTAGAATTTGGGTACACTCTGGTCAGAGACATACAATATCTCAGCACAGACCTCAGACCTTGGCTTGGGGAAGACATAGGAGAGGGCTATAAAAAACACTACTGCCCTATGAAAAGCTTCCCAGTGGGGCAGCTAGGTGGTTAAGTGGATAGAGCAGTGGATAGACCCTGGAATCAGGAGGACCTGAGTTCAAATCCGGCCTCAGACACAAAACACTCATTAGCTTTGTGACTGTGGGCAAGTCACTTAACCCCAATTGCCTCACACAAAAAAAAATAAAGAAAGAAAAAGAAAAGCTTCCCAGCCTCCCCAGCAGGCCCTCCTGGGTTCCAGACCTCATTCTGTGTAAAGGTCTGTCATCCCATATAGGTATTGCTCACAAATAGGCTCTGGGGACTCAGTGCTGCAGCTCATGAGGAAGGGGAGTTTAAAGAGAGGGCCTGGTGGGCAGCACTGAAAAATGAAAAGGGTGTCTCTGGAATTGGCCTTGGAGGATTGGGGAGTGGTGAGGACTGTTAGTAGCAGCAGCTCACTTAGGGATTCAGGTCCATGGCCAGGTTGGCGATGTGGGAACAGCAGCTGCTGGGTGACGAGGAGACATGTTGGGAAGGGAGTTCCCGGCATAAATAAATCCCTAATAACAAAGTCAGTCTCCATCCAGAGGAAACCTCCTTCGAAGCTGAACAGCATGCTGACCTATTCCTGAATACATCCTGGATGTGCTAATTGAGGGGGATGTTATGAAAATGAAAAACAATTACATCAGCTGTTCCAGAAAGAAATGCGCTGGCTTGATAGAATAGGAAAGCTAATTGCTTGGCTTTTTTTTTCCTTTCTCTCTCTTTCATAAGCCCAGGGCTTGGAGAGAAGTCAGCCCAATAATGTGGTCATTTTGCTGTAAAGCAAGATATACAAAAGCATCCACGTCTTGTAGCCATGTAATTACCAGGGCATCTTGGGAGTCCCCTGTATATTCTATCAGCCCTGAGGCATGCCCTCCGCAGTAGCTATCCCAGCTCACACCTCAGGCTGCCTTCTTCAGGCTGGGCTTAGAAGACCCTTGCAAAGAGAAGTCACTGAGCCCCTCAGACCCTTGACCCCTCAACCACCAGTCTCCTAGGAGTTGGGAAGGGCCAAGTTGGAAGGGGAGCTGGGAAGAGTGGAAGGGCTTGGGATGGATAAGGAGCCAGCTGTACTCCTTTCTTTGGGAGTCAGAAGAACAGTTTCTAGGAGATAGAGAAAGAAAGGGATGTGCCATATGATGAGGTTCCTGAATTGTGACCTCATTGGTGTCACCTTATTGTCTTGGCTGAAGAAGTTCGGGGGAGCCCAGAGTCCGGACCGGGGCAGGTGGCAATTTGCAGACCTTCTGTTTTTGCTCTTGGCCATGCCTCCTGTGATTGTTGTGTCCGTGCATTCATGCAAGCTTTCCCCTGTTCCCCTCTCAATCCGACTCCCTCTCTTGTCTCCTGTAGTTTATCACAGTTCAGTGAAGAGAACATGATGGATCCCTACAACCTCGCCATCTGCTTTGGGCCTACGCTAATGTCGGTGCCCGAAGGCCATGACCAGGTCTCCTGCCAGGCCCATGTGAATGAGCTAATCAAAACCATCATCATCCAGCACGAGAATATCTTCCCGAGCCCCAGGGAGCTGGAGGGCCCCGTCTACAGCAGAGGAGGAAGCATGGAGGATTACTGGTAGGTGGGCAGGGAAGGAAGCGAAGAGCAGCCATCTTCCACACTGTTGACAAGAGGGCGTGTGGCAAAGCCCAGGGCAAAGAAGGCACGCAGAGCCCTCACGTTCAGATTAGATTGACTGCATCTCGAGGTCGTCTTGTTCAGCTCCCCGCTTGCCCCTCCGTCACCTAGACAAAGGGATGGCAGGCCACTTCATGCCAGACCCCAATTTACAGAGAACCAAGGGATCCTCCCGGAAAGGAATTCCATAAGCTTTTTTTACGTAATTGAGGTAAATCAAATTATTTCCAAATTATTCCCATTTACCCAGTGGAGTGATAGAAATTGTGGAAGATACAAGGAGTGCAAGATGTGTATCAAGGAAGTCATTCAATCAGGCGATAAGTATTTAGTAAGCACCTACAAAGTGCTAGGCAACGAGGAGGCAAAGACAAAAGGGAGATAGCCCCTGCCCTCAAGGAGGTTGCATTCTTTTTTTTAAATTATATTTTATTTTATTTTCATGAGGATTCGCCTTCTCTCCCTCCATTGAGAAAGTAAAGAAGACAAAACTCCCATTACAAACAAATACAGTCAAGCAACACAAATTCTCACTCTGATCTCATCCTCACAACAAGCCTCAGTGTGCCCTCTTTGGTCCATCACCTCTGTTAGGAGGTGGGCACCATATTTCATCACAGGGCCTCTGGAATTCTGGTTGGTCCTTGGGTTGATAAGAGTCCCTAAGTTAAAGTTATTTGTCTTTATGGTATTACTGTAATTGTATGATTTTCCTCTCCTGGCTCTGTTCACTTGGCAGTGTATTGGTTCATACAAGTCTTCCCAGGCTTCTCTAAAACTATCTCCTTCATCATTTCCTATAGCACAGTAGTATTCCGTCCCATTCATATACCTCAGCTTGCTCAGCCATTCATTCCCTAGTTGATGGGCACCCTCTCAGTGCCATAAATAGTTTAGTACACATAGGCCCTTTTCCAAAGACATTAGATTATAGTGGGGGAGGGTCATTGGGGAGAGAAGTCATACATGAAGAATTTGTTGTCTGAGGGTTGTGAGACAGGTTACATAACACTCTTCTCCCAAGACTGTAGAGAGAAGGGTAGGCACCCAAGTGGGCTGGTTAAAGGCAGTTCTCTTCGGAAACAGTGGGTTGGACTTCTGGAGAATTCAGAGTGGCTGTGGATTCAATTCTGTTGTCCACAATTTGATCTAACTCCAATGTGATGTTAGTGGATGCATGGACTCCTAGATCTGAGGTCTGAAGGGAACCTCCAGAGATCACCTGGACCAGCCCTCTGCTTTTTGGTGTCACTTCTACCTTTTAAAGCAAAGACAACTTAAAGCTCACAAGCTCCAGTGACTCAGCCAAGATCACATGGCTACCAAGTGGTAGAGGGAGCCATTAGAATCCTTGAGGTTTGGAGGAATGCCATTGGTGATCTCATCCCTCTCCCATGCTTCCTCTTGAGAGCATCCTTGGCATGTTGTCCTCCAGCCTCTGCTTAAAGCACCAGAGTAGTGGACAACTCACTCCCTCTTGAGATAGTTCATCCTGCAGTCAGAGAGCTTCAGACTTTATGTTGTGCCCAAATCTGAAACCCTAGAACATAGAGCCCTTGGTTCCAACTCTGTGCGTTGGAGCTGCAGAAAACAAATCTGATGCCCTTTTCACATAACAAACATTTGGATACTTGACGATGGGCCTCATGTTCCCATCTCCCCCTCTTGGATGTGATCCCTCCTTTCTTCTGGGATCTGTCCCTCACTGGACGTGGTTTTGCAGCTTCATCATCCTGGAACTCTGGTCTTCAGCCACCTCCCCTGAGACTACTCATCTAATGCTAAGTACAATAGGGACAGCCTGTCTTTCTGCTACATTCAGATTTCTCCTTCCTTCACCTCTTTCCCTCCCTTCCTCAAATACTCTTTGAACCTCAGCTGAAAACGTAAACTAGCCCATGCCCAGGGATCCACGTGGAACCAATTCAGTACCAGTTATCAGCTCAGTTAGGGGAGGCCAGGAGAATTTGTTTGTCTCGGGACCACATTGATCCGCCTTGCTCCCTGACCCCCACAGGTGGAGACCCAAAAGGGTCACATGTCTGTAGTATAGTGTCAGTAATATTCCTCATTTGGGCTTTGCTCTTTCCTGTGCTGTTATCATAAAATATGATAACCTGTTAACTTTTCTCAAGCATTCAGGTAAAAGAAAAGATGGAACAAACTTTGCCCGTGAGTACAATAATGATAAAGGGATGTTTGTCAATTTCCTCAAGATTTTTGGTCAGTTCCCACTTTGGGCCATCAAGATGCTGTATCTGTCCCTGTGGACTTAGGGACCTGATTGTCTTCTTCACTCATCACCACCCCTGTGGGAGAAGAGAGATCGAATTGTTGGAAAACTTTGGAACAAAGTCCAAGACCAGAGAATCTTAACTTTCTTTTTTGTTATTAACCCTTTTGGCAGTCTCTTGAACCCTTATGGACCCCTTCTTAGAATATTGGTTTTACATGCATAAGATAAAGTACATGTGATTATAAAGGAAACCAATTATATTGAAATACATTATTAAAATATTGACAAAACAAGTTCACAGAGCCCAGGTTAAGACCCCCTGCCCTCGACCATAGGTGTATATGGCAGACAAGGTTTCACCTACCTTAAGGGAATGGGAAAGAGAAGGGCCAATAGTAAGGCTTCCTCACAGTGCCCAGGTGTACCCTTCCCATGTTTGATACACTCCTGGGCCCTAGACTCTTTCTGACCCTTTCTTTGCCCTTGCATGGGGAAGGGTCTCTTCCCTTCTGTGCTCAAACACCAAAGCAGTATGCAGTGGCTCTCTGCTCAAGATCTCTGAAAGGGGCCTGTATCAGGGAGGAACCAGCAAGCACATTCTCTCAGTTGTCTCCACGTTGCCCTGCCTAATTTCTCTATGTTTGCAGATTTTACTAGTCAGTCCTTGGGAGGAAACCATAGGATTATGGTGGAATAGGAAACAGGTGGAAGGGCCCTGACAGCATCAGGCAAGACTTGGGGCTATTGCATCTGATGGATCAAGAATCATTTGCCTTGAGGTGGGAAAGGCAGGGGGATAGGCTGTCCTTTAGATTGTCATCTCTCATCCTTTCCTCAGTCTGCCCTAGATAAGAGACTAGCTAAAAACAAAGCGTGTCTCATTTCGAGGAGGAGGAGGCTAGAGGGAGTACAGAAGGGGTGGCTAGGGTCCTGAGAATGCTGGAGAGAGGCCAGAGGAGATAGAGAGAGCCAAGGCTTCTCTGCATTCCTGTGGCGGCAGGGAGCTCAGTCCCATTCCATTTTTTCTTCCCCAGCCTGCCTGAAAAACCTGGCCCTTCAGTGTTAGCAGAACAAAGTGTGGGTCTTCCCTGGAAGGACCCCCGTCATGGCATGCGAAGGTCTTTCTGAGGTAGAGGAGGCTAGAGGGAGGTTTATAGCACCCTTTGTCTCTCCTTTTTGGTTTCTGATTCTCTCCAAACATCCTCAGACCCGGCTGATTCCATACCTAGGAAGACTTCAGAAACCCTCTGATTTATATGGGTCATGGGACCCTAAGGGGAGAGGATAACCCAGAGGCAGAAGGCAGAGGACCTTGTCTCATGGTGACCCAAGAGTCCTCCTCCCTTTCTTTGCTTTCAGAAGAAACCAGATTTGTTAGAAAGAAGGAAACACTGAAAATGGATGAGCTTCCCTCAGTCTCTCATCATGTAGAAACTTGGTGGTTGTACTGAGGGTCTCTGTCCCTCAGTGGCTCATTCATCAGATTTGAGCTGAAAGACGGGGTTTAGGTAGAGTTTCCAGTTACTGTCCAGGCAAGCTCAGAAGGGACTTGGATAATTAAAATCCAGAGTCCAGAGCCCAATGCTAGCCAAGAACTTTCCTTGTCTTTCACCCCTCTCCCTCTTCTCCTTGCCTCTGCCTTCCACCCTCATGTCTTTCCTCCCCACCAGTGGAGATGTCCAGAAGCCACAGAATGGCAGCAAGCCTGGTGGGAAGGAAGAGAGTTAGAAGAGCTTGAATAATGCACGTGGTGGCTTATTGAGAGCTACCTACATATTGCCATAAAGAAACCCCTCCACCAGCCCCAGAAGGGTTTCTCTTTGCTAGTCTGTCCTACTGTCTCTTACGCTGAAGGGTGTGAAGCTCAGGTTGCCTCAGCTAGTTTGTCTAGTTCTGCCTTGAGGGGATGGCTTGGCTCAGATGACCTCTGGAACCTACTTGTAAAATGTTTATTAGGAGGACGTGTTACCTACCTGCTGTGTGCATAGCACAGCACTGAGCTTTTATGGGGCATAAAATGTGCAGAGGTCCCTGCCCTTCCCTGAAAACCAGCAAGTCCTCCCCAAATGCTGATTCCTCCCATCTCCTGGGCAACTTTCCTCCTCTGTGATGCTTTTGGTGACTTTGCTTTGGTTCTGCTGCAGTGAAAGCCCCCATGGAGAGACTACCTCAGCTGAAGACTCAGCACAGGACATAACCGTGGACCACCACACCAGCGACGATGGTATGTGCGCAGCCCTGCTTCCTGCTCAGCCAGTGGGGACCCCAGGGAGGAGGGGAGCCTGGTCGTGTGGCCTGAGCTCCCCTCGCAGTCTGGTGCTGCCCAGGCCATGCTGGAGTATTTAGTAACAGTTCCTCTGTTTGCTTCAATCTTTGGAGGGAGGCTGCTTTTCTGAGATAGTTTAAGTTCTAATCATATGTCCAAATGAGGGGATGCAGAGTCTAAGCCATGTCGATTTCCTCCCGCTGCATACTTTGGCTGTCCCATTCCCGACTCCCTTGCCGGCTCCCTAGTCCCTCCGCCCTCCAACCTAAGTTCCTAGTGATTTCCAGCTGGTTCCCAATCACCAGTCACACTCAGTGCCAAGTAACAAGATGCTAAAGCAATACAGAGCACATTTAAAGAACAAAACAAAGCAAAAAAACCGTCCCAGAGAATGGAGACACTGAATGCCAAGTACAAAACAGAAATAAAACAGAGTAAGAGTGGGAGCCAGGATGAATCAACCACATGCTTGCAAGCCCACCGACTGGAAAAATCGACCCTTTCCAAAGGTGCAGACATACAAGGGCCTTTAGGCAGTCGATTGGCCTAATGTGAGTTGAGAAGTGGAATGCTCAGCTGTCATCTGAGGGCCTCTCTGCATTGCTTCTGATTTATTAAGACCTGTCTTGCCAGGATATACTGCTCCCCCCTACTTCCAATAGCTCCCCATCACCCTGTCTGGCTCACTTGGGCTCTGGAAGTCTCAACAGCCAAGAGGGCACCTCCAAATTTTCCAGGGGTGAGGAGGAAACAGGATATTCTGCTGAGCGCTCTAGGCCTCCCACCTTCCTGGGAATTCTGCTCTCCCAGGCAGATGGCTCAAAGTGCAGTATCGAGGGGAGGGTGCAGAGGAACTCATAAAATCTTTAATTCCTCTCTGGTTTGGGGACACATCTGTCATCCAGGAGTAGAACCTAGAAAACCATCTCATATATAAGTAGTCATCCTTCTTGTCACACAGCATAACAGAATTTAAGAGTCCTGTAGGCAATTTGATGTGTGGATCTGGAGCTGAGAAGAGAGATCAGGGCTGGAAATGGAGATCAGGAAGCCAAGAAAGGGAGCAAGGTTGCCTAGGGAGACAGGGAGAGAAAAAGAGTACCACGGACAGAGCCTTCGGGAACATCCACCCTAAGGGTCAGAAAGAAGATGAAGTGTTGGTGAAGGCTATAGAGGAGGAGTTATGTGATGTCCCAGGAGCCTGGGAAGGAGAGAGGGTCTAGGGGAGGAGGTGGTCAGCAGGGTTACTGTAGACTGCAAAGAGCTCCAGGAAAAGGAGTCCTGAACAAAGGCCCCAGGGTGTGAGTTGGTCACCAAGCATCTTCACTGAGTGCTTCCTAGGTGTTGGGCACTATGTAGAGCACGGGGGTTACACAGCAGGACAAAGACAACCCTGCCCTCAAGGAGCTGACACTCTAATGGGGGGAGAGAGCATGTCAACAACTAAGTACATACCAGATATGTATAGAGTGAATAGAAGGTATGTACTTCGTTATTAAAATGATTAGTTATTTACATATTACAGAGGAAAGGCACCGGTCACAGAAAGGGCACTGGGAGAGGCCTCCCAAGGAAAGTTGCATTTGAACTGAGTCTTGCTGGAATCCAGACAGAATAAGAAGGAATACATTCCCCTGCCATGGAAGATAGCCTTGCAAAGGCACCAGGGAGGCAGGAGATGGAGTGTCATGTGTAAAGAACAACTGGAATGTACAGCATATGGATTCAAGTGTACAAACTTGGAAAGGTTGGAAAGAATCAGGATATGAAGAGATTTAAGTGTCAAACGGCATTCAGTTTTGTTCCTGAGGTAGTAGGGGGCCATTGAAGTGTATTGAGTGGGGGTCTGGTGAGGGAGGAGCTTTAAGAAGATCACATCAGCAACTGACTGGAGTCCAGATTGGAGTAGGGAGAGACTTAAGGATACTGATTGGAAGGCAGTCATCCGGGGGGTTGATGAGGGCCGCACTGGGGCTTGTGAATGGAGAGAAGGGGAAGCGTATGAGTTGTGATGTGAAGGTAGAAAAGCAGCAAGGTGTGATGGTGGATTGGATCTGTGGAGTGAATGTGAGTGAGGACTGGAGGATTATGCCATGCTTCAAACCTGGGTGACCAGGATGAAGGTAGTGCCTTTAACGGTAGAGGGAAGTTTGGGAATACCCCTTTTTCTGTGAACGAGGGAAGGAGAAGACCTGGCAATGCTACAAAGAAGTTTTGAGGAGGGGAGTCGAGGTTGTTTCATTGGATGGTCTCAGTCTCCTAAGTCAGAGGCCAAGTCATCTGCTGTACAAGAGGGCGGGAAGGGGCTGCAGGAGAGAAGGAGAGATCTCAAACAGTTGTTTTGGAAAATGAGTCAACAAAAATAAAACGATAGGCCTGTTGAGGTTATGTACCTCAACATAGTGAGGCAAATCAGCTTAACTATGAGACTTTCCCCATCAGTGCTCAGTAGTCCAGAAGTGGCAACCTTCAGCTGGTGGGATTTGCCTAGGGAACAGCATTAACAGCTTAGGAACAGCGGAAAGTCAGAGGAATGAAGGATTCAACAGCAGTGGCCAGTCATATGTTAAATTAACCTTTTGGGGCAGGGGGTGTCAATTCAGGGTATAGAGACAAGCAAAAATAAAAAGAAAGAACAGGGACACGTCAAATGACCGGAAATCACAGTGAGAGCAAAAATCAGGTGGGTTGGGAGTGGGTTAGAAGGTCGTGGTTGGACAGGGAATGTCTAAATACTGAGTCTTAGAGGTGATGTAGTTCCATGTGATGGTGAAGTCTAAGGTGTGATCATGCTGGTGTAGGGCTGGAAAGGAATAGAGGAGGAAGCCATTGACATCAGGGGAATTTTGGATGTTTGAGTGGTTGTTACTGTGAATACAGAAGCTCTGTTGTTTGCAAGAATAGAACCCAAAAGCTGAAATAGTTTTAGAAAGAAATTTATTAGATCATTTGGTAGAGGAGAGAGAGCCAGAAAGGAAGTGTGGTTTCCTTTCCCCAGATTCTGGAAGGTTGACATTATGTAGGATTTTGAGAAAGGTTTCCCACATAGGAACCCCACATACTCAGTTAAGCAGTTTTGCTGAGAGGGCAACCTGAAAGCAAAGCAGATTGAGACAGATAGGAGTAACTGTAACCCAAAACAGAAGCTCGAACAGAAGAGTGGAGCCCTCAGAAGTTCCTGAGTGTGGTAGCCCAAAACAAGAATGCTTTGGGTGGATCCCAGCTGGGGGAATCAGAAATACCTTGTGGCCATCTCTGGCATTCCTAGAGTTACTAGAGTCAGTCAACATTCTGAGTGTGGACAACCTTTAATCATGTAAGGTTGGATTTAAATAGTGTAATAATTTTTCCCACAATCCCAAGAATGAGGGGGACACAATGGATTGGAAAACCATGACCTAGGTGCTTAAGTTCATGGGATATTGAGACCAGTGATATGTACATAACAGAAACAAGGATGGGAAGAGGGCAGTATGCACAGACCACATGAACTGTCAAAGAGGAAGGGTTATTGAGGAGTAGATAGAAACGTCTTCCAGAAAGGCCAGTGGAGAGCAAAGAGCAGCTATCCTTTGAGAGCATTCGCTTCAAGGCTACTCTTTGCTGACTTTACATAGACTCATGAGCCAAAGGGCTCTGAAGGCCCATCCTACTAACTGCACTCTCCCTCAGGGAATGCAGGGGCTAGGGAAGGATGAGCAGGGTCACCTCTTGTCATGTGCAGCCCTTTATGCGATGGTTATATATAACCTAATGGATGGTTGTAATGGAGCAAAGATCCATTCACGAGTATCCTTGCAGAGGATTTCCTCATCAGGAGCTGAGTACCAGTGACCTCTACAGATTAAGGAATTCAGAGCCTTGCCCAATCCCTAAAACTTTATTCATTCTATTTGTTTCCTTCTTTCTTGTCCTTTTCAGAGTGTGAGCCCATTGAGGCCATTGCCAAGTTTGACTACATCGGCCGGACAGCCCGAGAACTGTCCTTCAAGAAGGGGGCCTCCTTGCTGCTCTACCACAGGGCCTCTGATGACTGGTGGGAGGGCCGACACAATGGCATTGATGGACTCATCCCTCATCAGTACATCGTGGTCCAAGACACGTAGGTTGGGCCCTCAGGCCAAGGGGCCAGGGTTACTGGTGCCACTTCCAAGATGAGCCTATAGGAGACGGACTCTCAGTGAAGGTTGCCAGAAACTGAGAGTCACGAGATGTCAGCCTTCTCCTCAGTCTGGGGACAATGGTCTGGAAGTCCCCAGACTCACCATCCCCCAAAACAGTCCACTAACTAATTCTCTGAATAGCCACTTGGCATGTGTATGCCTGAAGAGTGCTAAAGAAGGCAGGTGTCACCAAACAACTCCCTGGATCCCCTTCCTAGACTGAGAGAACATTTTCTTTCTGATCTGGACAATCTCCACCCTTTCACGGGGAAAGGGTGTTCTGGTTTTTAGCAAGTATGCATTAACTCTATCCGATGATCTTATTTATAATATTTTCCTACTTATAGACAAAATTGTATTTTGGCTAAAAAAAAGCCAAGCCAGGGATGTGAGCGTTAGTGATGAAGGTTCTTCCTGCCCTTCTAGAAAGTACAGGGATTAAGTAACCTTGTTGAAATAACCCAGTTTAGTTCAGTGACCCAGGTGAGGTTGATTGGGGGAGGAGCAGCTAGAAAGGAAGGGGAAATCAGGCTGGCCTTCAAGAAGTTTTACAGATGGGCTCCACCTGCGAAGGAAACGGGCTTAGAGGGAAATGGCATTGTTTAGAGATTCCCTGTCCCATACCTTCCAACCCTGGTCCCCAGGCTACAAGTCCTGCCTGACCTGGAGCCCAGCCTGAGAAGGACCCCTGGTCCCCTGTTCCCATTGTCCTCCCCTTGGATATTGTGCTGCCAGTCTTTATAGTCCTTCTCTTAATATTATTTTTTAAAGGTTGATATCCTGAATGAGTCTTCACCCTCCCAGCCTGTCCCTGACTTGTTCTGCAGGGAACATCCTCCCTCTGTTGATAACATCGCAAATCTGGTGGTGATCTATGCATCCAGAACCTTCCTAAATTTAGCATTTTGACTTCATTACAAGATCAAGCAGATGAGCTGTGGGGGAGAAGGGGCTTTCTTGTCATCCTCCTATATGACCAGTAGCCAGAGGGGCCAGGAGAGCAGTGGAGAAACCTGGGACCAGCTTGGAAGCTCTAGTGGGGCTAGATTTGCTCCGATGGAGTGTGAGGGTCTCCTGCCTTAACGCCAGCATCTCCAAAGCCTGAGCAGATATGCAGCAACCTTGACATGTCTCTTCCTCCTCCGGGAGGTTGTCCCAGCCCAGCCAACCTGGCCTTGGGGTAAAAGGCAGATGCCTCAGATCCAGATTTCCTCTAGCTGGATCCTGCCATGCTTTCCTGAGGAGCCAAGGGCCTACAGAACTCAGCTGGATTATTTATTTTATTTAAAATAACTCCGATCAGCTCCTAGGTTCCTAACTCCCTGCTTTCCTGCCCCTCCTTTCCCTGCACAGGGCCAGCCTACCCAGAGCCACTGGGTATTGCCGCCATCTTGGAGCTCTGCTGGGGAGTGTATATGTGTGTGTGTGTTGGGGGGGGGCCATCTTGCTAATTTAACACTGCTTTTTGTGTTATTATTGTTTTCCCTCCTCCCTGCCTGCCCACCCCTTCTCCCCCAGCGAGGATGGTGTCGCGGAGAGGTCGAGCCCCAAGTCTGAGATGGAGGTCATTTGTGAGCCACCTGAAGAAAAGGTGACAGCCAGAGCGGGGGCCAGCTGTCCCAGTGGGGGTCATGTAGCCGATATTTATCTTGCAAACATCAACAAGTAAGCGCTGCTTTTCATTTTCTGCTGTCCTGACCGACTCTTTAACACCAAGCTTCACCCCCTGGTCTAACCCTGACCCTCCTCCATTCCTGCGCTGCACATAGGGAGGTTGCTAAATGACACTCAGCTCTCCCAGGCTAACGATCCGCATGCCTTCATTGCTGCTGGCTAGATGGATGGGGGCGAGGAAGCTTCTGCAAGCTTCAGTGATAGGTCAAGGCTCCTGCTAGCCACCGTCATGCTACAAAGGGGCGCTCTCTTTCTCTGTGTCCCTACAGTGTCTGTCACCAGGAACCCACCTGGGAATCCTAGGTCTGCAGCTGTTATCCAAAGCTCAAGAGTGGCCAGTGGCCAAGTAGGCAACATGGACCAAAGCTGTTCTGCTGAGGGGGGGACTTCTTTGGTCCTGTCGCTTTCCTCACTCTTACCTAATAATAGGTTCTTTCTTCTCCGAAGGCTAAAAGCCTTGTTAGTTTTGTACTAGGCTGATGTTGATGATGGGCATGTTTGATTAAATGTTGTTTGTCTGTTCTGCTCCCTGCTCTCGGTGTTCACTCCTATGGAGGAAGAGATCACATTGCCTCTTTCCTGACCACCCTCTCCACATCCCACTCCCATGTCATTCTGCCCTTTCACACCAGAAGAGAAGATGTGGCAGTCTTCACACGGCCATAGCCTTATCCGCCCTGCTTCGTTATTCAGGCTTACTGCAGATTTGTTGTTCCTTCCAAAAACAGGCTTTTGACTGTGATTCCCAGCTTCCGTCGTCACACTGGCAGTAAGCTAGGGTCTTCCACTTGCCCACCCCAGGATTCCCTGCCTCTGACTCTATATCCATGCTCCCTGGCCTCCCCAGGGGACATTCCGGGTGTTGGACAACTAGTTTCATCTCTGCCTCCTCAAGGGGCATGACATGAACTCCTCGATCCATCACCTCCTCTACTAGACCCTGAAACTTGGGACAGTGCCAGTAAGATGGCGGCAGGCCCCTAGGGCATGCTCCGTGAATATGAACTAGCAATGATGCATAGTTTTTATTCCCATATGACTTTGGAAGAATGAAATGATTTGCACAAGGAAAACCTGTTAACTGTAGCCTCTGGACGTTGAAACTGGAAGGAGAATAAATGCGCTTGTTGTTTCTAAACCATATCAGGTCGCCTAGATCTTTCTGCCTTTTTTTTTTTTTTTTTTGTTTCCTCCAGCTAGTCATTAGAAGGGGCACGGTCAGGGGATTTGTTTTCTCTTGAACTTCAAGTTGGGGAAATCAGTTATGCTAATTCCATCTTGGAAATATCCACTTACCTCCCTATTTAGAACTATTTGTAATTTAAGCCAGTAAATGAAAAACAATGAGGATTTCATTCATTCCCCAACCCAAAGGGCAATCCCAAACTCACTACCCTGGTGAGAAGGCAGGCTAATAAAAATCATGGTGGGCTAATCCTATTTTCGTTCTTTATTTACAAGGTTGTGTTAATTATAAAGTTCTAATCACAATAATCCCAGCCTGTAATTAAGCCAATAACAGGGGAGAAGGTGACTGTGTAGGTGTGTGGTTTTGTAAGCCACCAGCTTAGTTGTTGCTTTTAGTATGAAGGAAATTCATGGAAGAAGAAATTCAGCAGTTAAAAGTTTGCAAAAAGCAGAGCCCAAACCTCTGGGAAGTTTACTTGAGTTCCCTCCTTTTGGGGGGGGGTGGAGGACCCCGAAGTTTTATCTCCCTTCACCATAATGTCATAGATTTAGGTCTGGAGAGGGATCTAGCCACCCAGTCTGAGCCAGTCACTGAATGCATAGAAAACCAAGGCCCAGAAAGGTTAAGTGATTGTCCAGGGTCACACAAGGAACAAAGAGCAGAACCAGGCTTCCAATGCAGGTTCTCTGAGTTCAAATTCAGCATTCTTTCCTCTGCACCACTTTGTGCCCCTGGCTTTCTCCCCACTCCCAAACAAATAGGTAGGGAGCAGAACAGTCACTGGGCATGGCATATGAGCCTTTGCAGGAAATCTTATGGCAGTTTAGACCCCAAACTCCAGCCATCCTGTTTGGACTGCACAAAAAGCAACAATTAGAACAAAAACAACAAAGTCAGGACCCAAATCTACTTGAGGGCTGCCATCAGGACCCAGGAGCAGTGACTTCGTCTAGTGGAAAAAAAGCCATTTGGACTCAGAGTCTGAAAAACCAAGGGTCAAGTCCTGACTCAGACATGTACTAGCTGTGTGACCCTGGGCAAGTCACTGGCCCTCTGGTCATCCCAGATACTAACTCTCTAAGGTTATACGTTGCAGAGCAGTTGCTAATCTGTTCTTGTAAAATGAATTTTCCTTACCAGAAGTTCTCTATGCCAGTGAAATCACAGGTCAGGACAAAAAAAAAAAAAAAAGGAAAAGAAGACTCAGAATCATAAAATGTTGAAGCTGGAAAGGACCCCAAGGATCTTCTGGTCCATTCCCACCACCACCACCATTACCCCTCCCCTGCCCTTTGTTTTTTTACAGATAAGAGGCCTGAAGCCCAGGTGCATGCAGTTCTCCCAGCTCCTGGGCTAGAGCTGTTCCCATTACCCTGAGTTGTCTTTGGGAGGCCTTTTCCCTCACCAATAGATGTGGCCCTGAGCCCTGGCACCACCCCAGTGGACCCCAAGCAGGGCCTCTTCTCGTTGCCTGTCCTCAGTTCTGTCCCTTCGCATCCCCACCCCAGCTTGTCCAATAGTGGAGTCGGGAACAGAGCTTCATAACTGCCCTTCTGACCCAGAAAGCGATTTCTTTTACATCCCCCTATAAATCTGTTTTCCTCATTTGGTTCCTTTGTAACTACGTCCAAGTGAACACTGGCTAGCTCTATAACAGTGCCCAGTAACCACAAGATTGCCAGACAATCTAATTTAATTATAGCGTTTACACAGAGCCATAAGTGGCCTGAAATGAATTGACCATGAGCCAAAGTTTAATCTCATCCTTGGTGATTCAAGGAGTAAAAAAAAAATCAGAATTCATAAAATTTGTCCTTAACTCCTCCAGTATTATAGTCCCTTGAGAAACTTTCTTTTGTCTTCACATTTTAAGCCTTATGCCAGATCTTGTAATGATTTCACCCTGCTTGTGTTGATGATTTTTGGGAGGAGGGCCCTAAAAGTTGAGGGGAAAACATTCCCTTCCACCTTACCTTCTCTGTCCCCGTAATAACAGAGTAAGTTCTCCTCGTTTAAACCTTGTCTCTGCTTAAAAAAATAAATAAATGAAAGGCCACAGTAAGGGCATCTCTAGGAGTCCGAGACTCTCTCCCCATTATCATATTTCACATAATCAGACTTTCCCTTTGCATAGCCTTTTGCATCTCAGGAGCTCAAAGCACACCACCAACCAGTAAGTATCCATTTCTCCTTTGCCAAGCTTGGAGGGGTGGGGTAGGGAGGGTGGGGATAATGAAGGCATTAAGGAAGTGGGACAGTGGAGCCTTGGCGAGAACCCCCTCTGTGGCCCTTTACCCACTCCCTGGAAAAATACTGGTTGACAGGAACTCATCCCTCTTCCTCTTCCCGCCTCTCCTTGGATATGGGCGTGCTGGAACCCGAGCCAGCTCTTGCTCACACTTGTCTTTCTGTTTGTGACTGAAGGCAGAGGAAGCGGCCAGAATCTGGGAACATCAGGAAAGCCTTCCGGCAGAGCGAGGGCCATGGGCTAAGCAGCCCCCTGCTGGACTCCTCCTCCCCAGGGCCCGGGGGAGCCAGCTGCCGTCCCTCCTCCCAGCCTGTCAGCAGCCAGAGTCTCCCCAAGGAGGGGCCCGAGAAGTGTTCTGCCAGTGGGCACGGGGGTCTCAATTCCATCAGCCGACACTCGTCTCTGAAGAATCGACTGGACAGTCCTCAGATCCGGAAGACAGTAACGGCAGGGAGGTCCAAGAGCTTCAACAACCATCGGCCCATGGACCCTGAGGTTATCGCGCAGGTAAAACCTGGAGTTTGGTGGAGAATGGTGGATTGGGAGTTTCCCCTTGTCACTCACAGTAGCCTCATGCAGAGTCAGTCCCGACCTCAGAGCAAGGAACATAATGAGTGCTTAGGGATGTGTCTGACCAGGTGACCAATGTACGTCTGGAGGTGCTGCAACCCTTCAGACAAGCGTCATTCGCTAGCACCCCTTCTCCAAAGGGCCACAATGGAGTCGAATAAAGTTGGCTTCTTAACTATATATGTGCATTTGCGCAACTGTTGCCTCTTGGCAAAACTCTCACTTCTCTAGCCTAGTGCCTACACGTGTCACGCCGGATATATTGTCCCCCTTCGGGGTTTTGTAATTCTGGGGAGTTAGGCACCGAGACCTCAGGACGTGTTAGTGGAATTGGCCAAATGTGTGTGACACCTTCGGTTTCAGATTTATACCTGATTACGTTCCTTTCATTCTATCCCCTCCCCACTTTCCCTGTCATACCCCAGGGCATTCCCTGACCTTGCCGACCAGACGCTGCCCAGAGAAACCTAACAATGATCAGCTGGTCCTTGGGCCTAAAGGGGACGAGATCTTGGGGTGTAGATAAGTCTCCCAGGAGGAACGGAGGCCAGTTCCCCATCACAAGGGACCTCCTTACATCTCTAGTCCATCCTTTTGACTTCTTGTTTTCCATGAAATGATAGAGGGCTAACCCCATCTTTAAAAATCCGACGGCCGCAGCCACTCCAAGCAGTGTACTCAGACGTCTCCCTCAGCTCTATAATTTTCATTAGTCCAGGTGGGTACGAGGGGCTTCCTGTTGCCCTTGACTGTCCTGCTTTTAGCAGAGCTAAGATCCCCGCTGCCCCCGGGGAAGACAGAGGCAGTCTCTGTTGGCTGGGCTGTGGTGCGCTCCCAAGGAATGTCTTCTTGGTCAGACCCTGTCCAGCTGGGTGCCTGACGTGTCTCTCGCTTTGCTAGGCCTCTAGCTGTCTGTCTCTGTGTGTGAGGTCATGGTTGTAAGCTGCCTTCCCCCATGGGACTCCTCCCAGCTCCCTTCTTTGGACAGGTGTCAGTAGGAACGGAGGGGCTTGGTCCCAGCTGGGACAGGGTCTGGCTGCAGAGATGGGGCAGGAAGAGCGCTGGAGTCCTGGAGCCTGTTTTCAAGTCTGGGAACATCTTAGGGCTGAGTGGCGTTGAGCTGCTGCCAACAGAAAGCTCATCTCACGCTCCATCACAGAGAAGCTTTGATGGGCCCTGGCCTGGAACAGCCAGCCTATCAGTGCAGACCTAATCCCCAAGCGGGATTCCTGTGATGGCGCAGGGGGGCCAGACACGAGCTTGCCGGAGGGGAGGGAGGTGAGGAGCAGGGAGGTCTCCTAGGGAGGCAGCTGGCTTGCAGACAAAGGTCCTTCGGTTCTCTCATGAGTCCCCAGCTAGTGATGCTGCTTGTTTGCTGAGCTGGTTTCCATTGTAACTTACAGAAGGCAATTCACCTAAGTGGGCTTTGGCTCCCCCTCCTGGACAGTGCCCTCTTGACAGTGATGGATAGAAGAGAACAGCATGATTAACGCTGGACTCTCCTGCCATAGTTGTGCAGTCCCCAGGTGGTGGGCAGGGAGCAGAGCTATTGGACCTTTCCTCAATCCCCGATGGGTAAGACCTGTCCTTCTTTCACCAGGGTTAGAGTTTGGTGACTCCCAGTCCCAGGGGACTGCAGGTCGGATCTCAGTACCAATTTTGTAATGATGATGGTCACATGAAAGAGACGTATTTCCGAGCCCCAGTAGATGGTGCACTTCCTCTGAGCACTATTGGATAGACTCAAGAATTTCAGCGCAGAAATCTTGATACCCCTTACCTGCCCAGCCCCCTCCCCGCCCCTCCCCACCCCACCTTGAAATTGGTTCTTGCGAGATTTGACCTGCAGCAGTAAAACGGGATCTTTGGTGACGTTCCACACCTCCAGACTCATCTTCTCCTCTGTACTTTTCAGGACATTGAGGCAACGATGAATTCTGCCCTGAATGAACTCCGGGAGCTCGAGCGGCAAAGCAACGTGAAGCACACGCCTGACGTGGTCCTGGACACCCTGGAGCCCCTAAAGACCTCTCCGGTGGTAGCACCTACTTCAGAACCCTCTAGCCCCCTGCACACCCAGCTCCTCAAGGACCCTGAACCCGCCTTCCAGCGCAGCGCCAGTACGGCTGGGGACATCCCCTGCGCTTTCCGGCCGGTCAAGTCAGTCAAGATGGCCGCCCCGGTCAAGCCACCAGCCACACGGCCTAAGCCGGTGGTCTTCCCCAAAACCAACGCCACCAGTCCTGGCGTCAACTCGTCAGCATCCCCACAGCCCACTGACAAGTCTTGTACGGTCTGACGGACACCATCCGATTGTTCCAGACAAGGGGACTTGAGGAACCAGAGACTGTTATTAAAATCTTCCTATTTAACTAGCTTGGGGACTTCAGCTGAAAATTAGATTCTAAGTTATTCCTGCAGGAATAGACTTCCCAGCCGCCCAAACCCTTGAGAATGAAGCTCTCCCTGTCTCCTTCCCTGCCCACCCCCACCTGTTCCCTGGCCCCCTTCCTTAGCTTCCCTTGGTCAGTCATAATCCAGCCAGCTACAGTATATACCAGTCTTAGGCAATAGCCAGAAATAGATCTTTCCATTATCAGGTCACTGTGAAATCTGGCAAGGCAAACAGTAAAGATGTGGCTCGAATCTCAGTCCTCCTCAAGTCACCCAGGATGCCTTGCCAAAGTGGTTGGCTGCTAATACACCCACCTCTCAGTAACACCATGTTTGGGTACTGGTTAAAATGAACCATATAGTCTCTGCTTCATTACACACATACACACACACACACACACACACACACACACGCCAACAGTTGTAGATTAGTCTCTGGCATGTGTAGACACTCCTGGTTCCGTGACCCATGGCTGTGTGTCTCTTTGTAAGTTATTGTGGCAGTTCACACAGTGACCACCAGGGTCTGTTTGTTTCCGTTACAAACCCTATTTTGTCTGGGACAGGAGAACTCAGCCATAGAAATCTCTCATTAAATGAAACTTAATCAGGATGGGATTTGACCCCCGAGCTCCACGTGGGCTTAGGGGATTTCTCTCTTCAGCCTCTTTTTACTGATGTGGTTTGGTTGGTTGGTGTTTACATCTGTCCCCTTCATCCTCCATAACTACAACCAAACTCTGTAGTAAGTAATAATCCCTTGTAAAAATTACCTGAATGATACATTCACGTTAGGTGGGAGAAGGGGCATCCTACTTCCATTTTCTACACTAGAAGGAATCCCACTGAAGATGGTTTTAGTACCTGGACCCTTGAAAATGGTTTTAGGAGAGTTTCATGGTCTTCAGGGCAGGTTTGGGAAAGTTAGCTAGTGGCATGTTGTTCTTCTCGTCCTCCTTTGGGGCACTTAAGACTCAAAGACTTATTGTCCTGAAGTCAGTCAGTCATCAATCTATTTGGCTCCAAGAGATCCAGTGAAATTTCAAAGTAGGTTTGGCCCCTAGAAGCAAGGTGACTCGGATGCCACTTGTAAGTTGCTGCCCACTGTCCTTCAGCCTGTGTCTCCTGGCTTTAGTTACCACCCAGTGCCTCCCGGTAGAAGGGGGGGGGGCTTGGGGAGCCATTGTCCGATGTTGAGAGCCACTTGTTGGCCAAATCTGTCAACAGCCATCTAGGAATACCTGTCTTGGTTGTATATTGATTCCACAAACCAAAAAGTCTCCCTGAGACTGAAATCTGAAGACACTATCAGCAGCTGAGTAGGTTAACTGAGCCTGTGAATAAGGAAGGGACTGATGGGCCAACAGTTTCCTTCCCCGATCCTTCTCCCACGGCCCACACAAAAGGTCAAGATGATTTCACCATCTGCTCTAGCCCAGCCTCCCAAATCCTACCCGCTACTTACCTCTCCCCTGATATCATTCTGTGCCGGGAATACTGGGGTGAAAGGCCAAGCCGCTTAGAGCTCCTGGGTCTCAGATAAAGAGATGAGTTAAGGCCCAACCCCATGTGTTACCTTAGAACCACAGAAGCTGTGTTTTCTGGTTTGGAGTCATATTCTTTACCTGATAACTTTTCTGTGGTTTCAGAGAGATATGTGGTAGTTGTCTTTTGGGAGAGAAACCTAAATTTTCCAATGTTTGGCTCAAAACACCTATCCTAAATCACCATTTTTTTTTTAAATGGTTTGGAGTCAGATCTATCAGAGGTAGCATTCCTTTATCCTTCATAAAGAAATGAGCTTTGTGAGGAGGCACTTAGCAGAAAGAAGCTTTGGAACATGGAGGGCCAAGGCCCCAAGAGGTGGATTCCTTCGGTGACATGACCAGACCTGGAAGAGATGACTTAGAACCACTGGACTCGTTGAGCAGTCAGCTGCTCTGTTTAGTAGCTCCCAAAAGGGATGGTTTGTTCTAAGCCCTGAGCCTCCAATGGATCTGTCCCCCCTGGGGATCCTTTTCCGTCGGAGCAAGGAGAGCCTCATCCTTCACTCTACATTCCTTAGGTGACAGCTTGGAGATCCTCTTCACCCAATGATCTGAGTTGGAACCCACACCTTCCATTTTCCTCCTACCCTCCCCAATTCCAGGAAAGGGTGGAGAAGTTTTCTCAAAACAAAGTCTTTGGATCTGTTCTGTTACTTCTTGCCTTCTTTCTTTTTGTGTCCTCTACATCCCCTCCACTCCCCGTCCCACCCAGCCAACATCCATCTGCTGATGGGCATCATGAGCTGAGCAGTGTGTGAATGGGAACCCACAGTTCAAAGTCTTAGCCAGCCCTCCATGCCCCTAGGGGGTGGGGGGTGGCGTTGTCTTCCCCATCTCTGGTGCTTCTGGCACCGTGGAGATATCTGGTCCTGCCAAGGGGACTCGGAGCCAGTGGGGAGAGAGCCCATCTTGGCGGGGCACTGTGCAATCGGCCAGAATGGAGGTGGCACACTGTGATTTTTACACCAAATTGGGAGCCAGCAACCCAAGGGACCCTGCAGAGAGAGCCCTCTGCTGAGTACCCTGGCCCAAACCAGCGGCACACACGTGAGAGACATCCCGCCGCCTCTGTGGTGTGTGTTGTGAACTCTGAAGGGGAGGAACAGGAATTAGTCCTTGTGTTGTACAGTAGGGCCTGCACCCTACCTGAAAGAAAAGAACAATGAATTTCCACCCAACAGCATGCTGGCCCCAGCCCCGTCCCCCAGGGAGCCAGGGTTCCTCCTGCAGAGATGAGATGATGCTGGCGGAGGAATGAACAGACCACTTTGGAAGGGCTGGTATAGATGTACTTCCTATTCAGAAGAGATATTAGATCTTCCAGGGAAATGCAATGTTGTGGCGTATGACTTGTATGTAACGTTTGTGTAAAATGGTATATTCTTTAAAACAATTGTGTTGATAACTGGAATAATGTATGTATGTATGCTTGGAAATGCTTTGTATGAACATAAGGCTGTCACTCAACAAAGGTTGGATTGGGGAGAATCCAAAGCACAACTTCAAAATAAAATACATTTTTAGGTTATGAAGCTGTAGTTCCTGCCCCGCACCCCGCCTCCCCACTCCCTACTCCCTGGGAACCATGGTTCCCTGAAGTTTTTACAGATAGGAGTAAATTAGATTGTTCTGGGCTGGTGGCATCCATCCTAGATGCATGGGTTAAGAATAGGGGAGGGCTCCGTGCTGTAACTCGAAGCCAGAGGTGTGAGAGTGCTGTATCTATAGGGAAGAATTTCAACATCTCCATTTAGTCTGTCTGTGGAACCAAAGATGCTCCATAGAAGGAGTTATTGGCTCAGCATTGGATAGCCTGTTTCCTTGACAACCATTCCCTCACTGATTCTATCTCTGGATATGATTGGTGGGAAGAATTTTCACTTCTTTCTCCATTTGGATGCCAGGGAGAGAGATTAGTGGGGGGGGGAGGGCAGGGAAAACATTTCAGGAGCTTTTCCAATGTGTTTTCATTTCTCCCAGAATGAGGGCCCTAAGATTGGCCCCTGGCAACCTCTGTGCCCCTAGCAGACCCAATTTTACCCGCATATGGTATGACATGTCACAGTGTATGTTTCAAGGGAATCCTTCCCAGAAGGAGAGAGGTTTTATTCTGAATACAGTCATCTATCCTTGGGCCAGGGGAGCCCTAGCCAGAACAAAATCCATCAGAAAGGAATTTGTTTGTTTGTTTGTTTGTTTGTTTTTAGGCAATTGGGGTTAAGTGACTTGCCCAGGGTCACACAGCTAGTAGGTGTCAAGTGTTTGGTCTGAGGCCGGATTTGAACTCAGGTACTCCTGATTTCAGGGCCTGTGCTCTATCCACTGCGCCACCTAGCTGCCCCTTCAGAAAGGAATTTTGAGGCTCAGAATATATCCTAAGACCTTTAGAAGAGATCTTGGGGACATTTTAGATCCTTAGAACACTATGATGCCTGGATTTGAGCCCTAATCCAGAAAGATAAGGCTACTCACATGTGGCTTGTTGAATCCTTCAGTTCTTGTCCTTTGTGCTCGAAGAGGACCAAAATGGTGTCACTATGTCAGGGTCAAGATACAGTGTGTCTGACTGCGGCTGATCCAGCCAATACAAGCTCAGAAGGCTTGGTTGGGCACAAATAGTCTGTATGAACATTTAGAGTGGAGATGTCCAAATTTTCGATTGTCATTTCTTTCGAGCTACCACAATTCTGCTTTGCTCATCGAACACAGCACCTTCTTTGATACAGGCATACCGTGCTGGGAGGTCCTATGCCAGTGTCTCCTATGTCTCACAATCAACTCCAAAGTTCTTCAGAAAGAGCTTGAGAGCTTCCTTGTATCACTTCTTCAGACCTGTGTGTGAGCGCTTACCTTGTGTGAGTTCTAGTAGGCTAACGTACTTTTGGTATTCAAACAACAATGTCCAGCCCACTGGAGTTGTACCCCTCTGCAGTAGAGTTTGAATGCTTGGCAGTTGAGCTTGAGAAAGGACTTCAGTGTCTGGTACCAGGTGATCTTCAGAATCTTCCTAAGACAATTCAAATAGAAATGATTCAGTTTCCTGGCATGGCGCTGGTATACTATCCAGGTTTCACAAGCATACAACAATGAGGTACACAATGGCTCTGTAGACCTTCAGTGTGGTAGGCAGCCTAATACCTCTTCTCCTCCACATATTCTTTCAGAGCCTCCCAAACACTGGGCTAGTTCTGGCAATGTGTGTATCAACCTCATCATCTATGTGTACATCCCTGAAAAGTATACTTCCAAGGTAAGTGAACTTATCCACAACATTTAAAATTTCCCCATTTGCTGTAAGCAATCCGTGTATGAATAGTGTGGTGCTAGATGATGGAGTGTACCGGCCGCGCCGACCCTCTCCTCCTATGAGGAGCAGGCTGCCAGAGTCATACTCACTTCCGAGTCTTCGGTTCTCAGCCGGATAAACACACAGAGACAAGCCATCGGGAGGCGCCAACACCAGAGCTTTATTCAGAGGCCATCACAGCAAGCCATCACAGCAAGCCCAAGCAGCAAGGCCAGAGCAACAGAGCAGGAGCCAAGAGAGAGAGCGAGCATGTGATCTGACCACGCTCATTCCTAACTACCTGCTTAGCCCCTCCTCCCCAGCCCGCTTACTAGCCAATGATTGTAGGGTCAGATACCGGAAGGGGCTGTCTGAGTTTAGCACACCAAGGGGGAGGGAGTGACGTAGGAGGCTAGGACCGGGTACAGGGAGGAGGCATCTGGGATTAGTGCATAGACAGAGTACGTGACCTAGGAAGTCAGACTCAGATACTGGGAGGAGGGGTCTGGGGTCAGTGCTACACAAAGGGACCCAGGAAGTCAGGAAGGTCACAAGAGGCGTCTGGGGATGATGTTGCATATAGGGAGGGGACTAAGCAAAGGGAACTCAGTCCTCTGCTGTCCCACTCCCACGTGGCACCACCCCTTGCCTCAGGAGCACAAGCTCCGCTACTTCCTTGTACCCAGCTTATCTCACATAGCACTGCCCACTGCCTCAGGGCTTCTCTGTACCCAGCCCATCCCAGTTCACCACGACTCTGCCTACCACAGCCCCTGCCTCAACTTCCAAAATACCCAGATTCTACCCTACTCTTGCCACAGTGCCCAACTGGCAACTGCCAACATCAGACAGTCCCTCACAATGGAGAACCTCTGTTTTCTTGGTGTTATCAGGCTAAAATTAGCACAAGCCACAGAGAATTGATCCATACTCTGTTGCATCTCAGCCTCAGAGGATGCAATGAGTGCACAATCATCTGCAAATGAAAAGTCGTGCACCAACTCTCCTTCCACATTAATCTTGGCTTGTAGCTTTTTCAAGTTAAATAATTTACTGTCAGTACGATAGTTGACCTTGATGCCATTTTTGTTTTCATTAAAGGTGTTGAACAACATCACTGAAAACATCATGCTAAAAAGCACAGGGGCAAGCACACAGCCTTGCTTCACTCCATTGGTGACTGGGAAAGCATGAGAGCATCATCAATTATCCAGAACCCATGCAAGTATGCCACTGTGAAACTCACGATGCCTGGGTTTGAGGCCCACTCCACCCCCTACTCCAGATAGTTGAGTCCTTCAGTTATTCTGTGATTATGGCAAGAAATAGGCCCCAGGAATCCTTGCCTCTCTATGGGAGGCCAGACTAGCCCCATAGTTTTGAATGTCTCTACATTCCCTTAATTATACTTAACTTCATCTATTTAAAGTAGCCCTTCCTTTTCCTTGCTCTCAGAGAATCTTGGACATTTGGGGTCATAGAGGCATGATATTAGGCAGCTAGGGGCAACTAGGTGACACTGTGGATAGTCAAAGTCTATGAGACCTGGGTTTGAATTCTGCCTCCAACACTTACAAGCTGTGTGACCCTAGTCCTCACCTCTGTCTGCCTCATCTATAATAGCACTTACCTCTAGTGTGGCTGTGAGCTTAAGCTCTATATAAATGCTAGCAAATATTATTATAAAGCTTGGAGGGACCAGCAAGGCCATTTACTCCAACCTCCATCACTTTATTTACAGATGAAGAAACTTGTCCAAGGAAGTCAGGTGACCTATTCAAGTTCACACAAGCAAGAAGTGTCATAGAACCCCCAAGCCCTACTACTTCTGAGCTACTGCTCCTTTTATTGAACCATCTTTGCTGCAGACAGTGCAGTGTCCATCTCTGTCTGCCCTTGACCCTAAGGGTCTCACATCTGAAGCCCTGCTGTCCCCAAGTGGTGTACGCAGATTCTGACTCCCCGTGGAAGTTAGGAAGTTTGGTTGGAACAACTCAACCCCTGGTTCCCCTCCTGTGAGTTGGAGTAGGAAGGAACTATGCCGAAGAATGCTGAAGAGATCTGGGCATATCAAAGCCCTGAGGACAGAGATAGGATTGGTCCCCCTTAGCTCCATTTAGCTCAACTACTCAGGAAAGAACTTGATATAAACCAGTGGTTGGCACTGATCACCCTCAGAGTTTGCTCCATCCCCAAACAAAATGTCATGAAAGCCTAACGTGATAAGACTAGCAATGGATGGAGTGCCAGGCCCAAAGTCAAGAAAACCTGAGTTCACATCCGATCTTGGACACTTACTAGTTGTGCGACCCTGAGCAAGTCACTTTACTTCTGCCTCAGTTTTCTCACCTACCTCCCAGGGTTGTTGGGAGAATCAAATGATAGAATATTAATATTTATTATTTAATATTTAATATTTATAAAGTGTTTAGCATAGTGTCTGGCACATAATAAGTACTATATGAATGCTAGTTATTATTGTCCTTGTTGTTGTTATTGGCAGGTAGAGACAGGGAGGGCAACTAGATGGTGCAATGGAGTCAAGAATACTCCACTTCCTGAATTCAAATTCGGCCTCAGACACTTACTAGCTGTGTGACCCTGGGCAAGTCATTTAACCTTGTTTCCTCATCTGGAAAATGAGCTGGAGAAGGAAATGGCAAACCACTCCAGTATCTTTGCCAAGAAAATCCCAAACAGGATCATGAAGAGTCAGACAAGACTGGAAAACAACTGAACAACAAGAGAAAGAAAAATCCCCACATCCCACCCATATCCAGTTTTAAAGAGTCTTCCCAAGTGGAAGAGACTTTAGGATTCCTTTGGTGCAGCCTCTTTGTTTTACAGCTGAGGGAACTGAGGCTCTTAGAGATGAGGTCACAGGGCCAAGATCACACAGGTAGTAGGTGACAGAGCCAGATACACAGCCACATCCTCTGACTCGTTCTTTCCACTCTGCCCCCATTTCCTTTGCTCTGTGGATGTGTGGGGGCTAGGTGCTGCTCTTCTGGGCCCCTCTCCACCGCCTCGCTGCACTCTATAGAAGGGTCCAGGAGCTCGCTCCATAAGGGAGTGGCCAACAGGGATTCCCACAGGTGGGAGTTAAGAAAAAGGTCAATTTTTAGTGGAGGGGAATAATTCAGCAACACCCTCCCCCCACCAATCTCTCTGCCTCTGCAACAAGCTCCCTCAGCATCCTCTCCCTCCTGCCCCCACCCCAGCCCCTGCTCTAATTCCCCAGTCCTCTTCCAAATTTCCTGTAAACATTAAACATGTGACAAGAGAGCCTTCTTGTTGCTGTTAAAAAGTGTATTCTTACTAGATGGGAGGAGTGAATTTAATCCAGAGAGGTGCCAGCAGAGACATTTCTAATCTCCTGGGGTCTCTGAGTCTGCAAGGGTGAACGGTCAGTGAAAGGGTCTGAGATTCTAATACAGTCCTCAGCCCTCAGCCAGAGAGCAAAAAGCAAGAGTTCAGGCTCGGGGTTTAACCCATGTGTTCCCTTCTTCCAACAGGCCCCAGAGTCAAGCTCTGCACTGGTTTGTTTGGTTTTTTTCCCCACCCTATTGAATGGGACTTTCCCCAACCTGCAAATCTGGTGCCAGGTGCCCCAGTAAAGCAGGTTACAGCGGGCAAGGCGCAGCCCAAATGGTTCAGTGAGTACTTAGTAAGCACCAACTGAGTGCCCTGAACATCCCAGCTTTCAAGGAATTTACAATCTGATGGAGTAAAAGACACGTACACACATATCTACGATTCAAGAAAGAGTGAGAAGGTATCTATCTCTGCACCCTCCGCATCCTTTCTCCCCCTCTTCAGGCCTTGGCAGTCTGACTTCCTTTCCCTCACCTGAGACGCTTCCTTCCAAAGTAGCCAGGGCTCTCTTAACTGCCTGATCTGATGATCTTTTCTCAGGCCTCGTCCTTTTTGACCTCTCTGCTTTATTTGACACTATTGTCCATCTTCTCTCAAACACTCTCTCCTCTCCGGGTTTTTGTGACACCACACTCCTCTGGTTCTCCTCCTACTTGTCTGACCACTCCTGCTCAGTCTCCTTGACATTATGCATGTCATGGCCCCCTAACTCCCATGAGTTTAATTTTCATTTCTATATAGATGACTACTAGGTCTGTATATACAGCTCCAGTCTCTCCCCTGAGCTTCAGACCTGTATGAATCAATCAATAAATATTTATTAAGTGCCTACTATGTGCCAGGCACTGTGCTAAATGCTGGGGATGCAAAAAGAGGTAAAAGACAGTCCCTACCTTCAAGGAGCTTACAATCTAGTGGGGGAGACAACCTGCAAAAATATATATATATATACAAAAAAAGTTATATATATATAATATGATAAATTAAAAATAATTAACAGAGGATATATATATATATGATAAATTAAAAATAATTAACAGAGGGAAGGTACTAGAATAAAAGAGTTGGGGAAAGGCTTCCTGTAGAAGGTGAGATTTTAGTTGGAACATAAAGCCAGGGAGATCAGTTGCTTGTTGGACATTTCAAGCTGGATATCCAGGAGACATCTCAATATATCTTAAACTCAGTATATCTAAAAGTGGACTCATTCTCCCCCGCACACGCGGCTATTCCAGATTTCCTCATTTCTGTCCAAGGCACTGCAATCCTCCCAGTACAAGAAGCAGTTCAAGCACTGTCTTCTGTATGAAACCTTTCTGGTTCTCCACCACCCCAATTGCTAGCATCCTTCCTCTCAAATTACCTTCTATTGAAGTGCTTTGTATATTTTTGTATGTATTACCTTTTTACTATTTATTCTGCTTATATTTTTATATGTACACATTGCCTCTCTCCTGAGTGTCCCCCACTACCTCCCAGCCCCATGAGAACATAAGCTCATTTTAGGTAGAAATTGTTTCATTCTTTGTATTCCCCACACCTAACACAGTGACTGGCACATAGTAGGTGTGTAATAAATACTTGTTGATTGATTAAATTGATCGAGAGATCAGTTCAACCATTTATTAGATTAGATGGCTGCTATGTGCCAGGATTGTCCTAAGCACTAGGGATACATTGTACACAGACAATCCCTGCCCTTGAGGAGCTTACATTCTTTGTTTGTTTATTTGGTGAGGCAATTGGAGTTAAGTGACTTGCTCAAGGTCACACAGCTAGTAAGTGTTATGTGTCTGAGGTCAGATTTGAACTCAGGTTCTCCTGACTCCAGGGCCAGTGCTCTATCCACTGCACCACGTAGCTGCCCCAAGAGCTTACATTCTAATTGCCGAGATAGGTACACGTAGAAGTATATACAGAATATATGCAAACTCAACACAAAGTCATTTTCTGAGGGCAGGCACTGGCAAGCTGGAGGGGATGAGGCAAGAAAGGCATCACACAGAAGTTAGCATTTTGGCTCAGTTTCCAGAGAAACAAGGGATTCCAAAAGTCGGCAATAAGGATGGGGTGCATTCCAGGTGTGACAAGATGGCAGATGGAGCGTATGAGGAGAAGTGAACACCAGTATGGCTGGACTGAATTGAAGAGTCAAATGTATGTAAGAAGACTGGAAAGGGAGGAAGGAACCAGGTTGTGAAGAGCTTTAAAAGACAGGCAGAGGAGTTTATAGATGACTCACACCTGAATCTCAAGCAGCTAGGTGGCACCGTAGTGCATAGCACTGGGCCTGGAGTCGGGAAGACTCATCTTCCTGGGTTCAAATCTGCCCTCAGACATTTACTAGCTGTGTGACCCTTGCCAAGTCACTTCACCTTATTTGCCTCAGTTTCTTCATCTGTAAAATCAGCTGGAGGAGAAAATGACAAACCACTCCAGGATCTTTGCCAAGAAAATCCCAAGACTTGGACACAACTGAACAACTCACCTGGATGAGGGGAGGGTCTTAGAATTCTGACTAATGATTTGCCAGGTTAGATCCACCAACCTGACCATGGGAAGCAAGAAGAAAAGGATTTGAAGGTGCAAGAGGCTAATGGGGAGAATTTTCACTAAATGGAGCAAAAACAGAGACTTTTCTCTTTGTACTAAAGTGAGAAGCTGGCCCAGAAGGAGGACAGTATGATCACAATTCACTTTTATATAGTACACTCACAATTACAAAGCACTTTCCTAACCCTACCCTGTAAGATAGAGAAAGTATTATCCCCATTTTACAGATGAGATCAGTCAGTACTCCAAAAGATTAAGCCACTGGTTTATGGTCACCCAGGGAGTAAGTGTGTTAGAGTCAAAATTCAAACTCAGGTCTCCAACCCAAAATCAATACCAGTCCTTCTAGATCACCCCTAAGGAGTCCATGGATAGATTTTGGGTCTGGATAGGGGGAAAAATTACATCTTTATTTTCATTGACCTCTAACTGAAATTTAGCTTTTCCTTCAATTATAAATGTCAGTAACAAAAATTATTCTGAGAAGGGGCCCATGGCCTTCACTTAATTGCCAAAGGTGTCCATGACAGAAGAAAAGGTTAAGAATCCCTGAGATAGATGAAAGGAAGGAGGGAAGAAAGAAAGAAAAAAAGAAAGAAGGAAAGAGAAAGAAAAAGAAAGGAAGAAAGAAAAAAGGGAGGGAGGGAAGGAGGGGTAAGAACGAAAGGGAAAAAGAAAGAGGAAGGAAGGAAAGAAAGAAAGAAAAGGAAGGAGAGAGAAAGAAAAGGTAGGAGGGAGAGAAGGTGGGAAGGAAGAAGGTGATACAGAATTTATCAAACTACTACTATAGGTACTGTGTTAAGTGCTAGGGATACAAATAAGAGCAGGTAAAATAGTCTCTACCTTCAAGAAACTTACATTCTAATGGAGGTGGGGGCAGGGAAGCAGAGTGCAGAGCCAGCAGAGAAGTGACCTGGAGGCCTACTTTCCAATCAGGATAAAGTGAAAGGCCACCTATCACTGCCCTTATCCCAGGGCAGAGTCCAAGGTTTGGCGGTGGTGGACAAGGATGAGGATGGGAATGTGGGGCCGTGTGCAGGAGACGTCCAGAGAGTGGCATGAAGGCCTGTTTTAGGCTAGGTGACACCAATTCTCACCTTTATCACTGCTGCCTCTTGGGTAGCATACTTGTGCATATGAATGGCAGATCTGCCTAAAGCTGACATGATGTATATTATCTATGTCAGAGTGCAACACAGACTGTGGTGTCAGGGGTGGGGCTGAGAGAGGAAACCACCAGGTGTGGCCCTGGGAAAGTCCCTTCCTCCTTTCTACAGAAACATGGAATTTCCTGGTTTTAACCTTCTTCTCATCCAGCTCTAACTGGAGAGCTGGCAGGAGCCAGCAGTTGGGTCCTGGAAAATGCTCCTGGCTGGGGTGTTGGGACACCTGGGTTTGATTCCTAGCAGTGTCATTGCACAACTGTGGGCCAGCGCCTGCCTAGGTTTCAGTTTTCTATCAGCCAAATGGAAAGTATGATCGCAACAATGCTCTCTCCCAAGGCCTTCAGGAAGAATCAATCAGAGGTTGGAGAGGAGGCCACTGTGCTGGCCTTTGGGAATGCCTTGGGTTCAGGGGTCTCCTTGGAAGCAGGTCAAAGTGAAGTGCATGGAGTTGGTCTGGGAAATCTGCCTTCTGAAAGCAGCTTGTGATTTCAGTTGCCTAAATTAACTTGTCAAACCTGCCGAAGCACCTTGGCTAGCTCGCTGGCTGGCTGGCTGGCTGAGTGAAATGGGGCTGAGCCCTGGCCTTCCCTGACTCCAGGGAGCACAAAGCCTACGGGATCTCCTGCTTCTGGGACCAGGGGCCAACCAGGCCTTCATAGATTCCTTGGCAGGCTCAGACCTGGCTCTATCTTCTCCCTTCAGGAACAGAGAAGCTTCTCTTTCTGCTTAGGGTGGGGACCAGCCTCTGAGCAAGGGCCCCTGTCGCTTTAAGAAAGAAAGAAAAAAATCAGGAAGTACTGGAGAAGGAGAGCCAAGGTTCTGAGCTGAGCTGGGCTGGGTGCTAGGGCAGGGTTGGGGAGAAGAACGTCTCCAGCTCCTGACTCCTCCACTGTAATCTGCCTGGCCTGGCCTGGCCTGGCCTGGCCCGGTCCCACCCACTGGTGCAGGGGCCTCAGGTGAGCCTGGGACTCTTGCTGATGTCTCCACCTCTTCTAGGCAGTAGGACCCTGGCATTGCAGCTGTGGCAGCTACTGCCCTGCAGCCCCAGGCCTGGGGGAGGGGAGGTGTTCTTGTGCATTGATGCTTTGGGTGGTTAGTGGGCTGATAGAGGGGTAGATGGGAGGGACAGAGAGGGGAGAGAACAGGAATCTTCATCCCATGCCATTGGTCCTTGACTGGCTCTGGGACATGAGGAGGACTCTTGACCTAGGATGTGTAAGGGAGGATGGTGTCCAGACCCATGCCCTCTCTCTCTCCAGCTGCATTTCTCTTGTACCCATCCACATTGAAGGCCCACCTTGGATGAAGGTGGGTCTTTGTACTCAAGGGACTTGGGAGAGCTCCCTCAGTTTTCTCTTTTGCACAATGAACGGGGGTTGAATGGGATCCCTAAGGTGGCTAGCAGCCTTGATATTCTATGATCCTCTTATCTTGAGTGGGGGGCCTGGGAGAAGAAGGTAGAGATAAATCCAGGGAGCGTACATGTTGCCATTTCCTCAGGACACTAGGTTTCCGCCCCTTCTGCTTTCTGTTCTGTGGTCTGGTTTCTGGTGTCTTTGTCTCTCCCAGGTGGATGCTGTGTCTCTGGCCTGGATCTGAAGCAGAGGAAGTAGCTTTGACTTTCTGGGGAGTAATAGGTGTGGAAACCCCCAGCCTGGCCCCAAGGGCCCCAGCCCGCGGGGAGTGTGACAAACAGGAAAGGATTAAAGGGCTGAGGCAGGCAGCCTTTGAGGAAGGATGAGGAGGGTTCAGCCTCTTGCTGCAACCAGCCAGGTGGCACTGAGGCTCGCCTCTGCATTCTTTCAGGTACGTTTTAGCTTCTGGGCTTCCCTAGGACGGAAGGAACATCCTACAGGCTTGCTGAGAACTACCAGGTGTCAGGGCGGCGCTGAGTGTGTCGGGTAAGTGTGGCCTAGACCCCTGGCAGATGGGGCTTGATTTGACTGATTTAATTTCCCCCTTCCTCTGTGCTTAGCACCTGGGAGGTGCTTAATTATTTTGTGTTTATTTATCAGTGTAAATGCTGCATTCCTCTACCCTACCCCCACCTCTCGAATGTAAGCTTTCTGAGGGCAAGGACAGTTTTTGGGTTAGTTTTTGTATACCAACCCTAAGGCATGACCTTACACGTAGGGTTATCTTGCTTGCATGTTAAATCCATTAATTCCTGATTTCAGAGCAGAGAAATAAAGTACAGGCACTAAATTATGAATTCAGCAAATATTTACTAAGTACCTGCCATCTGCTTCACTGAGGGGGATAAAAAGATGAGAAAGTTACAGTCCCTGACCTCATGGAGTTCCCAATCTTAGTCTGCCACCCGTCGGGAGAAAGCAGAGCTCAGAAGTCCCAAGCCTTGTCCGAGGTCCTCCTGAGCATTTTCAGCTGCTTTGTAGACTTCGTTTGTCTCCTTTCCCTGTAGCTGGGCCCTACTTCACTGGCAGTGGGCAGGGTTTAACTCCATCTTTCCTCCTTCAGACCCCCCTCCAACCTTCGGAGTACTCCTTGCTCCCCACTCCCAGGGTAACCAATGTTTCCCTGCTGGTTCCTATCCAGTCTTGTTGGAAATAAGATAAATAAATCCATTCACATTAGATTTTAGAGACCTAATATGTTACTTAGCAATTTAGCAGCCTCTCCGGATCCCAGATGCATCCCTAGAAAATGGGAAGAGAACTTTCCTTAAAGTGGAAAAGCCCCTTCCAGCTCTAATAGCAATGATTCCCAGACCTTTAAACGTAGCAGACCATGTTTGAATGTTGAATTAAAGTCCCTGGAGTATTTGCTATCTAACAAGTTCAAGACAGGGTATTTCGGGAATGACAGATTAGAGGCCTCCCCATCATCTCCCCTGTCTGGCCCTCTAGCAAACCAGTGCCCAGATAATCTTCTTAAGTCTTGTTATGTGCACTGCGTTTTGGTCTTGATTTCTCCTTGGACTTCCCAGAAGGACTTTCCAAAAGTAATGACTTTGGGAGCAATAGCCCTCAGGAAGATAGTAATGGATGCCAGGATTGAGATTGAGGCTGCTAAGGGGTATCTGTCTCCTGCTATTCCTTTCTCCCCTGGATGTGATGTGTCAAACTCCCAAGCCATCTGCCAGGGAGGCAGTGGTTTGCTGAAACAGGAAGTGGTGGGTTCCCCTGGTGAGCCAATGGGGAGGGGCTCCAAGTTTGTGTTGAAATTTTGGAGATTTTTGGTGTTGTGGTTTAGGCACCCTGGGGCCCTTCCCCCAGCATTATTTCTGCTTCCTGGTCTAATCCCAAGTTCAGACATCAGTAATGTGGAGTGCTTACGGCCCTGGAAGAGATCACTGAAGCAAGAAGTTTCTCTCTGCATCGGTGGGAAAGTTCTTAGGAGATAGGTGCATAGTGGGAGATGCTCAGAATTTTAGGAAGATAGGCTCAAATGCTTACTCTCTTAGTGCCGGGCTGTGTGACCTCAGGAAGTCACCATCTATATGTACATCAAGATTTCTTCTCTCTCCCTCTAAAACGTGGGAACTACCAACCCAATTAGCTGTACGGGATAATCTGGGGAAATAAGATTCTCAGATTGGTGAGGGGGTACCCATAGGTTTGCTGAATACCTTTCCATGGCCCTTGACCTTTCTATTCTCTTGGGCAGGAAGGGGGCCTGGCTGTTGCAGACATCAGAAATGCAAAGTACAGCCAATTACCTTTGGCACACGGATGATCTCCTGGGCCAGGGGGCCACTGCCAGCGTGTACAGAGCTCGAAACAAGGTAGATGTATGGATGGTGGGCTGTTAGATTGTGAGTGCTGAGGCATGTGTGGCCTAGCAAGCATCCTACTCAACCTTGGTGAAAAGCATTAGAATGTTCACGTAGGGCATGAGCGGTGGAAAGAGGGATGATTTGGAATCAGGGACTGGTACTTAAGTCCCAACTTTGCCTCTGTGACTTTTGGGCGTGTTATTTGACCTCCCTAGGTCCTGGTGTTCTCAACTATCAAATCAAGGCATTGGACAAGATGACCTCCAGATCTATGATCTTTTGGCCATTCAGCCCAGTGTTCTGTCTGATACAGGCACCAAGGGATGGCACTTAGCACAGTGCCTGGCACATAATAAATATTGATTGCTTGATTGATTTTGAGCTTTGTTCTCTAGAGGAAGCTAGGCTACTAGTGAGAAGAAAACTGCCTTGGTCAGAAGACCTAGGTTTAAGACCCCGCTCTCTGTGATATGACAGCTGGCAAATCACTTCACCCCTAAAAACCCCAGTTTTCTCATCTGTAAAATAAAGGAGTTGGCTTTTAAGGCCCTTCCAACTATAAATCCATGATCCCATCATACAGTTGACATTCCGAAGGAAGACTCTCTAGGAGCAGATGTGTTCTTTTGTGTAATTGTCCTCAATCCTTCCTGGCCTGTCACAGGTTAGCCTTCTGGAACATCCACTGTGCCTCATTCCTCAGGGCCGGAGCATCTCATTTTCCCAGGGGAGCTTGGGAATCCTCTCACCGAGCCCATCTAGGCTTTTCTGGGCTCCCGTGCTAATTCAGAGTGGATGGAGGGTGGTATGAATGGCTGCTCCCCAGGGCAGAGGTGGGACTCAGTGTGAGCTTCCCTGCCACTCCTCCCCATCCCCTACAGAAATCTGGGGAACTCGTTGCTGTGAAAGTCTTCAACAATGCCAGCTATCTACGCCCCCGAGAAGTGCGGGAGAGGGAGTTTGAGGTCCTGAGGAAGCTGAAACATCAAAACATAGTCAAGCTGTTTGCTGTGGAGGAGATGGTATGTTCAGAAATTTAGCCAAGGCTCTTCCACTCTCCAGTCCAGCCTCCATGTCATTTGCAAAGTGATTTTCCCAAAGTACAGATCTGACCAAGTCACTCTCCTATTCAATAAACATCAATGGCTCCCTATTGCCTCCTGGACCAAATAAAAATTCCTGTATTTGGGCATTTTAAGCCCTTTGCAACCTGGCACCAACCTATATCTCTAGTCATGTTATACTCTACATTTTAGCCAAACTGGTCTTTTAAGCCCTTACAACCTATATCTTTGGTCTGATGCTGTGCATTTCAACCAAACTGGTCTTCTTACTGCTCTTCATTTGTGGCACCTGATCTCCCACCTCTGTCCCTTTTGTGCTGGCTATCCTTCATGCCTATAACGCGTGCCCTCATCATCTCCACTTCTAGAACCTCCAATTTCCCTCAAAGATCAGCTTAGGCGCCATCTTCCATGCCAAGGTTTTCCTGATCATCCACTCCAGCTGCTAGCACCTCCCCCCCCCAATTACCTTGCATTTATTTTGTGTAATTACATATGTGCATGGCTGTCTCAATAAAAGGTAAGATTCTTAAGAGCAGAGTTTAATTTCATTTCAGTCTTTTGAAGTCCCATTGACTAGCATTCCACTGGGCCTGTCAGTGCTTAGCACAGGGCCTGGCAGATAGTAGATACTTAATTAATATTTACTGACTGATACAGTAGATGCTTAATAAATGTCTTTTGATGTGTTGGGGCATTGAAAAGAGAAATACAGAGAAGGGAGGAGACCTTTTTACATAGTTCGCTAGCTGGGGGAGTTAGGACACAAAAAAGGAAAGACTTAAAATAGTATACGAACTAGCAAACCAGCAAGATGGCTGCATACCTATTAGGTACATGGGGGTAAAGGAACGATTAGAACCAGTTGTGTTAATCAGGGAGGGCTTCTGGAGGAGACAAGTTTGGGTGCAAGAATAGGACTAAAAATTGAGTAAGGAAGGTTCCAGCCCAGTGGGTAAGGATTCTATGAGGTAGTGGGGAGGGTCCCCTTTGGGGCAAGGAGTGGCCAGTTGTGGGTAGAGGGTAGAGACTGAGAACTGGTCAGCTTGATGCGAACAGGAAAGAAGGTCTGGGTAAGCAGAGTGAGTGGCCTCCCCTGAGAGGATCTAAATCCTAGACTTGGAGACCTCAGGTAGGATCAGAGTAAAGGAGGGGCCAGGAGCTGCCAGCTCTTCCCCTACCGGGGGTCTGAGGAGAGGTCTTTCTGCGCATCCTTTCTGCAGGGCACTGATAAGGACAAGGTGCTAGTGATGGAATACTGTTCCAGCGGTAGTCTGCTCAGTGTGCTGGAGAACCCTGAGAACGCCTTTGGACTAGCAGAGGCTGAGTTTCTAGTGGTCCTGCGCTGTGTGGGTGAGTTCCAGGAGGAGTAATTGGGGGTTGGCTGGGTGGGTGGGTTGAGCCCTGGGTTCGGGCCTGCTTCCACTTTCTCTTCAATATTGGAGCTTATCAGGCAGTGATGGATTTGGAATCTGAAGACCTGGGCTCAAATCTCGACTCTGCTATATAACAACAACAATAGCTAGTATTTATGTAGTTCTTTAAGGTTTGCAAAGCACTTTGCATATCTGTGTTACCACCTTCGATCCTCATAACAACCCTGTAAGGTTGGCTGTTGTCCTTCATTCTTGAAGAGGACCAAAATGACGTCACTATGTTGTGTCCAACCTACAGTGTGTCTGACTGTGGCTGATCAGACCAGTATGAACTCAGAAGGCTCTACCACAGGTCGGGCACAAATAGTCCATGTGAACATTTGGGATGGAGATGTCTCAGTTTGTGCTGCTCCCATTTCTTTTGAGCTACTGCAACTGTTTTGCTCTACTTTTATGTGGGTGCTCCATGCTGGGCAGTTCTTTGCCAGCATCTCCCATGTCATGCAATTGATTGCAAAGTTCTTTTTTTTTTGGTGGGGGGTAGGCAATGGGGTTAAGTGACTTGCCCAGGGTCACACAGCTAGTAAATGTTATGCATCTGAGGCCAAACTTGAACTCAGGTCCTCCGGAATCCAGGGCCAGTGCTTAATCCACTGCGTCACCTAGCTGCCCTTGATTGCAAAGTTCTTCAGAGCCACCTTGAGATTGCCCTTTTAATGCTCCTTCTGACCACCGTAGAGCACCTTTCTTGCATGAGTTAGGTGCTAATGTTATCTGTATATTACAGATGAGGAAACTGAGGCAGATAGCGGGTAAGTGACTTGCTTAGGGTCACACAGCTAATAAGTGTCTGAGACTGGCTTTGAACTCTGGTCTTCTTGACCCTAAATTCACTGTCCACCTGGGTGACCTTGGGCAAGTTGCTGATTCTCTCAGGGCCTCAGTTCCCTCCTCGGTAAAATTAAAGGGTTAGACTAGGTGTTCTCTCAGGCTCCTTCCAGGTCTAGTGTTAAGATCCTAGGAAGCTTGTCCTCTGGGAGCAAAGGCAGACCTATGCAATGAGGTCCCTCTTAGCTCTGAAACCTGTAAGTCTGAACTCAAGGCTTTCTTGCCACCCCCACCCCCCAGCAGCTAGTGCCATCCCTTCTAAGGCTACCTTCCCTCTAATCTGTATTTACCTTGTATGTTTTATATATATGTATATATATATATATATATACACACATGTTTGTATGTGTTTACATATATGTGAGTGTGTGTGTTCTCTCACTCATTAGAATGTAAACTCTTTGAGAGCAGGGACTAGTTTTTTTTTGTATCTCCAGTGCTTAGTTCAGTGACAAGCACATAGTTGGTGCTTAATAAGCACTTGTAGTTTGATCTAACATTGGATCGTAGAGCTAGAAGGAACCTTAGATTTCAACCTAGGCATTTTACAGATTAGGAGACTGAGGCCCAGAGAATTGAAGTGACTTACCCAAGATCACACAGGTAGTAAGTGTCTGAAATAGGATTTAAACTCTGGTCTTCTGAACTCCAAATGCAGCACTGCATACGTACTACCTTTCCCGACATCCTGTGACACCCTGAGATATGTATCATGTTCTTGAGGCTTTGCTGGGCATCCCTGCCGCCCCCCACAGGCAGGAGAAGACACAGGGACCAGAATTGCCAAATATTTTGTTACAAACCATTCAGTTTAAAATTCAGGTTGTTTTAAATTCCATCTTTTGCTCTAACCCAAATCCTTCCTGTTGGGGTCTAAGTTACCACACTGAAGTTCCAGATCCGGATTAGACGATCTAGACCACGGGTGCTTCTCCCTCTACACCTAACACAAGTTTACTTCTGAAAATGAAGCCAGAGCCCCTGAGCTCATTAAATGGATGAATGGGAAATTTTCACTCCCTTCTCTTCTGTACCTTTTCATAATTATCATTATGAAAATAATGGGGCAATTAGGTGGAGCAATGGATAGAGCTCTGGACATTGTTGTAAAGTCATTTTTCAGTCGTGTCCAACTCTTTGTGATCTTATTTTGGTTTTTCTTGGCAAAGATGCTGAAGTGGTTTGTCATTTCCTTCTCTAGCTCATTTTACAGATGAGGAAACTGAGGCAAAGAGGGTGAAGTGACTTGCCCAGAGTCACACAGCTAGGAAATGTCTGAGGCCAGATTTTAATTCAGGTCTTCATGACTCCAGGCCCAGGGTTCTATCCACTGCACCACCTAGCTGCCCCAAAAGTTTCTTCCCTGACCAGCCATCAAACCTGGGCTGAGGGAGTAGGGACACTGAATCCTAACCACTGGACCACCATGGAGGATTTCCTGAGTTCAAATACATACTCAGACACTTAATGGCTGTATGGTCCTGGGCAAGTCACTTAACTTCTGTTTGCCTCAGTTTCCTCATCTATAAAATGGGGGTAATAATACACCTATCTCTCAAATCACTTAATCCTGCCTCACTTTCCTCAATCCCCTCTGAGATCCTCCTGGCTCAGCCCCTTGGGGAGTCCTCCCCACAAAGACAAACATCTTCTCTTATTTTCAGTGGCTGGCATGAACCACCTCCGAGAGAATGGCATCGTCCACAGGGACATCAAGCCTGGCAACATCATGAGGCTTTTGGGAGACGACGGGCAGAGCATCTATAAGCTGACAGATTTTGGGGCTGCCAGGGAGCTGGAAGATGATGAAAAGTTTGTCTCTGTCTATGGGACAGAAGAATACCTGGTAAGTTGTGTGTGTTGTGTGCTCTAAACTGGGAACCTTGTCTACAGTCCCTTCCTTGGAACTTCCCTACAGCTTAGTGGGATATTATGCCATTCATTTCCCTATTTGTGAACAGGATAATATCTGACCTACTAATACATGGTATCAGTATATAGTACACCATGCATTATGTTATAATATCAGTATATATTATACCATATTATACTATGGTATCAGTATATATTATACCATGTATTATATTATGGTATCAATATATATTATACCATGTATTATTTTATACTATGGTATCAGTATATATTATACCAGGTATTATATTATACTATGATATCAATATATGTTATACCAGGTATTATATTATGGTATCAGTATGTATTATACCAGGTGCTGTACTGTGGTACCAGTATATATTATACCATGGTATTGGTATATATTATACCATGTGTTATATAATACTATGGTATTAGTACATATTATACCATGAATTATATTATACAATGTTATCAGTACATATTGTGCCATGAATTACATTATACTATAGTATCAGTATATATTATACTATGTATTATATTATACCATGATATTAGTATATATTAGACCATGTATTATATTATACTATGGTATTAGTACATATTATACCATGAATTACATTATACAATGGTATCAGTATATATTATACCATGTATTATATTGTACTATGGTATTAGTATATATTATACCATGTATTGTATTATACTATGGTATCAGGATGTATTATACTAATATATGGTACTATCCTAATAATGTTAGATCAGCTGGGGTTGAGTGGATATCCATTGCCTTTCCTCCACTTCCCCCAGGCTGGGTTGGGCCATAGATCTCTTTATCCTCCGACCTGTTTTTGTTTGACTCCTCCTGCCCTGGGGACCATCTCCTTTAGAGCCTGCAGCCAGGAAAGGGAAGTTAGGGACCATTTCCAGAGCAGGTAAGAAGTCCTGAAATGGGAGTTGGAGGCCCATGGGAGAGTGAGATTTGCTCATCTCATAGAATGGTGGGATTTAGAGCTGAAAGATCCATCCCCTTTACAGAGGAGGAAACTGAGGCCCAGAGAGTTTGTGATTTAGAGAAGGTCCCAGCCTAAGAACACCATTTTTGTGTCACAATTTCTGTCATTCATAGTATTGTAGATTTAGAGCTAGAAGAGACCTTAGAAACCATGAAGTCTAAATCCGTTATACAAATGAGAAAGCTGAGGCATAGAGAAGACTTGCCCCGGGCTACCCAGTTTGTTAAATGGCAGGATTTGAACTTGGGTCTTTCTGACTCCAAGTCTAATGCATTATCTGTTCTGACACATTGCCTTGTTGATGCTGGGCAAATCCTACTCTCAGGATGAGGTGATGACTTGGCTGGAAGGAGGCGTGAAGGCAATAGGTACAAAGAACATCTGTGCCCCCCAAAGAAGAGGCCCCTTCCCACCCCGCCTGCCAACAATGGTCCTTCTCTGGTTGTTCCTTCCACAGCACCCGGATGTCTATGAGCGGGCAGTGCTCCGGAAGCCTCAGCAGAAGGCATTTGGGGTGACAGTAGATCTGTGGAGCATTGGGGTGACCCTGTACCACGCAGCCACGGGCAGCCTCCCCTTTGTCCCCTTTGGTGGGCCTCGACGCAACAAGGAGATCATGTATGCCAGGGGTCGGGGAGGCAAGGAAAGGCTGGCAGCAGTGTGCCCCAGTAGGGGTGGGAAGGGCTCATAGAGCCAGAAGGGACCCCAGAAGCCCAAGAATCCAACTCCTTCATTTTACAGATGAGGAGACTGAGGCCCAGGAGAACAAAGAGTCACTTCCCAGGTCACACAGGGAGTGTCAGAGGTGGGCTTTGAACCTAGGTCCTTTGATTAGAGTCAGATTCTTTTTTCAAGCACAGAAGCTGGTTCTTAACCCTTTTATCCCAGTGGTTCTTCTACCCTCCTCCCCAAACAAGTGCTCCAACAAAAAATATTATCTCCCCTTACTCGCCACCACCCTTCCCATCCTAGCCCTTCCACCCCTGCCTCCTTTTTATGGTGAGGAATTCCCAAATGGGTGCCCTAGACCTCCCCTTAGCAGTCTGCTAGGTATTCATTGAGTACATATAACTAAAATATAACTAAATTCAACAAGCATCCACGAGGTGTCAGGCACCATCTTGGGTGCTGGGGATATAAAGGATGCTGTGGATGATCCAGTCCCTGACTCAAGCAGAAGGCTGTGTAAATTACAAAGGAAAGGATGAGACAAGGACCACCTCCCCTCTCCCCTTCCCTCCCAGGGGGGCTGTTAGCCTAGCTTGGGCACGTGCAAAATCATTAGAACAATTGAAACCAAATAAAATTCAGAACTAAAATTATGTAGGCCCAGCTATCAGGGCTAAAATGATCAGAGAAAGAGCCTTTGGGACTTAGAGGAAGGGCAATAACATTGTAAATGTGGGGAATATTATGCGGTAAAGCACAGAGAAGGACCCAGGTGTGAGTGGTGATCCAGAGGTACTTGGGAGGAGGGAGGAAACTTACCTGAATACACTAGGAAGGTTAAACTGAGGCAGGGCAGTGCACTCACCTGGGGACCAGGACTCCTGAGCTCACGGAGGCGCTGTGTGATTTTATACAAGTGTCTTCACTTCCCAATCACTTGATTAATAAGCATGTAGTAAGCTCCTATTATGTTCCAGACACTATGTGTAAGTAGGCTGGAGACACCAAGACAAAAATGTAACAGTGCTTAAGTAACTGTTGGAGCTGTGGTTCCAATTATGTGCCAGCTACATGCCGCAATAGTTAGAGTACTGGGCCTGGAGTCAGGAAGACCCAAGTGCAATCTGGCCTCAGACACTTCATACCTGTGTGACCTTGGGCAAGGCGCTTAGCCTGTGTCTGCCTCCATTTCCTTGTCTGTAAAATAGGGATGATAATTAGCTCCCAACTCCCACGGTTGTTGTGAGGATAAAATGAGATATATGAGATCTCTCTGTCTCTTTCTCTTTCTTTGTCTATCTCTGTTTCTCTCTGTTTCTCTCTCTGTCTGTGCCTCTCTCTCTGTCCCTCCCTTTTTCTCTTTCTCTCTCTCTCTTTCTCTGTCTTTTTTTCTCTCTCTGTCTCTCTGTCTCTCTCTTTTCTCTCTCTATCTCTTTGTCTCTGTCTCTATTTCTCTCTCTGTCTCTGTCCTCTCTCTCTTTCTCTGTCTTTTTTTCTCCCTATCTTGTAGTACTAACAGTCTCTGAAGCTTACGTTCTCTACGTGTACACCTTCTTTGTTCTGCAATGGCATGGAAACCTGGGAGTTTTTCCTGACCCTGGGTTCCCCTTCCTTCCAGGTTCAGGATCACCACAGAGAAACCAACTGGGGCCATTGCAGGCACCCAAAAACGAGAAAACGGGCCCCTGGAGTGGAGTTACAAGCTGCCCGTCACCTGCAGGCTGTCCCTGTAAGTAGTGATCCTGGGGCTGAGGCCAGCTGAGGCTTGGGTCTGTCCTATATGTTCTATTCTTTCAACTGGGAGCTGAGAGTTCTGCATCCTGGTCCTGGTCCTGGTCCTGGTCCTGGTCCTGGTCCTGGCTGGGTGCATAATAGGCTTTGTCCGTTCAACGCTAAGAGTTCTTCCTGGTCCACCCTCCTCCCCTCCATCCAACCTCACTGGTCAGCCCTATGGTGTAACAGAAGTAGTTCTGGCCTTGGACTCATAAGAAACCTAGACTGACATTTCCAGCTCCTAGCTTCACACTCCTAGCTGTGCGATGCTGGCAGTTTCCTCATCTATAAAATGGGGTGATAATATTCACATCACTCACCTCCCAGGGCTTTATGAGTCAGTCAGCATTTATTAAGTGCCTACTCTGTGCCAGGCACTGTGTTAACAGGAAGTAGGGATAGAGAGATTGTAAGGATTTAAGAAGAGACAGAGAAGAGACAAAGGGGAGGGAGACCTCTATTGTTATAATAATAACAATAATAATAAGCGTAAACATTTATATAGCATTTACAATGTGCCAGGCACAGTGCTAAAGCACTGTACAAATATTGTCCCATTCGATCCTCACAACAACCGTGGGAAGTAGGTGCTATTATTATCTCCATTTTACAGATGAGGAAACTGAGGCAAATAGATGTTAAGTGACTTGCCCAGAGTCACACAGTTAGTGAGTGTCTGAGGCTGGATTTGAACTCAGGTTTTCCTGACTCCAGGCCTGGTGCCCTATCCACTGTGCCACCAAACTGCCCCTTTTCAAGAAGTTTAAACACAAACAATGGAAGAGATAGATATAGGAAGAAAGGCACAAAATAGTCCCTGCCCTCAAGGAGCTCACAATCTAATGGGGGACACAACATACAGATAATTGGGTACGTACAAGATATATGGATCTCAGGAAGGAAGGTATTGAAGAGGATTGCAATGGTGGTGGTGGGAGGAATAAAAAGGGGTCAGGAAAGGCCTCCTGCTACAGTAGAATGTGAACTGAGTCACAAAGGAAGCCAGGGAAGCCAGCAGGCTTCAGCAAGAGTTATTGTTAATTTCTTGAATGGATGGTAAAGAGTGCAGGGCTAAGATGGCGCAGGCTTGCTTGGAGCTTGGCTGCTGATGGTTCATATCCCCAACTGGGACAGGGGGCTGCAGGCCCAGCTGGTGCCAATCCTGGCCAACATCCTGGAGGTGGATCAAGAGAAGTGTTGGGGTTTTGACCAGTTCTTTGCTGAGACCAGTGACATCCTTCAGCGGATTGTGGTCCATGTATTTTCTCTGTCTCGGGCTGTCCTGCACCATGTCTACATTCATGCCCACAACACGTAAGTTGGGCCTGCTGTGCAAGCGAGGGTGGGAGGGAGCTCCCCTTCTCTTCCAGTGATACATGAGAGAGACACTACTCTTTCACTGGAGGAAGAGAAGGTGTGAGAGAAGAGGAAGGAGATGACTCAGTGCCAGAGGAAAGTTAATAGAAGTTTGGGGATTTAAAGAGAATGCATCCTTTGGTGGGGGGAGGTTAATTATTTTTTAATTAAGCATTTATTTTTTTCTTCCCTCCACCATTAAGAAAGGAAAAAGTAAAAAGAAAACCCTTGTAACAAATACACACAAACAAAACAATTTGCACATTGGTCACATCAAAAAACGGATTTCTCATTCTGAATATTCAGTTGATCACCTCCCCGTCAAGACGTAGAAAGTGCATTTCATGTTTCCAGTCCTCTGGAATAGGGGTTGATCATTGTATTGATCAGAGTTCTAAAGTCTCCCAAAGTTATTTGTTTTTGTAATATTGTTATTGTTTAAGTTGTTCTGGTTCTGCTGTTTTTATTCTGTATCAGTTCATACAAATCTTTCTAGGTTTCTGTGACCCTGTCCCTTTCATCAGTCTATCAGCTAGCATTAATCAAGCACCTACTATGTGTCAGGCCCTGTGCTGAGTACTGGGTATTCAAAGAAAGACACAGGGTTCTCTGCTCTCAAGGAGTCCACAGTCTAAGGTTCTCATTTCTTATGGCACAATAGTACCCCATTATATTTGTATGCTATATTTTGTTCGACCATTTGCTTTTTGCCTCTTTTGAATCCCCAGTGCTTAGCACGATGTAGTATGTAGTAGATGCTTAGCACCAAGTATGCATGTAGTAGATGCTCAATGCATGCATGGTGATGATGATAAGGTAGCTAGACCCCTGAGTTGGGTTTCAGGATTCCTAGGATATTAGGCTTTAAAGCACTTTACAGATTGTATAATTCAACCCACTCATTTTACAGACAAGGAAACTGAGGCCCAGGTAAATTGCCCATGATTATACACGTAATAAGTATAAAACCCAGGCCCTGTGACTTCAAATCCAGTGTTTTCTTTTTTATACCATGTCGTGATGCCCTGCCTGGGTTCTGGTTTTGGCTGGGCCTCATGTGACCAGAGGCCCACCTCTTTACCCCTCTGGGCTTCAATTTGCCTCCCCCTCTCTAAAACAGACCCATTGCTCTAGTTTACTATAGAGCACATCGGGACTGAATGCCCTCGATAAGTGGAAGGTAGGGGGGTCTCCTCCCGTACTTGAAGTTGCCTCTTCCTTCCGGGCCTTCTTTCTTCAACCATGGTTTTAGAGAGTAGCAAAGAGTCCTGGGCTTGGCATCAGTAGACCTAGGTTCAGGACATTTACTCTGGGTCTCTAGCACTTCCTGGCTGTGTGACTGTGCATAAATCACTTAACCTCTCTGCACTTCCGATTCCTTTTCTTTGTAAGGGGAATATTCACACCTGTGCTACCTGCCTCGCTGGGCCTTTACTAGGAGAGTGCTCTGGGACCTTGAAGCTCTAAACTGTGGTCTATCCCTCCTGCGTCTAGGATAGGCATCTTCTTGGAGGGCGTGTATAAGCAGACCAGTGTGGAGTCCAGCCATCAGGAATACTTCTTTCAAGGCCACCCTTGCTTCCTGGAGCCCAGCCTCCCAGCCCAACATCTGGCTCATACAACTGAGGATAGCCCTTTGACCCTGCTCAGTGAAGATAGTGAAAACCCCACGGGGCTGGTCTTCAGAGACCGTGAGTAGGGCTCTGGCCGTGAGTAAGGCCTCATGAGACACGTCCAATGTCTTTTCTCACCAGAGATGCTAGAAGCCAGGGGTTGGCTAATTCTTTTTGCCAGGTCATTCTGGGGGGTTCCCAGACACGGGAGGCCTGGAGATAATCCTGGCTCTGCCTCTGTGTTTGGGTGACCTCTGCCTTGACCCCTTGGGACCTTGCTTTTGTTCACCTGTCATCCAGATGTATCAGGAGACTATGAATGACTGTGACAGCTTAGCTTGGCTTCTGTGTTAAGGGCATCTTCTTTGTTTGTTGCTGTGGGATCAGTGGCCACAGCCTTAGAGGATCAGAAGAGGAAAAGAATAGCTAACATTTCTATCCTGTTTTAAGATTTGCAAAGTGCTTTACATATATCACACTAATGTAGATAGCTCCCTTAGGATGAGACCCATCCCAGCTTTGCCTTTAGGTCCATGTATAGGATTTAAATTCTGTGCCAGGTGGGAGCCGGGTGCTGTGGGGGCAAGGGTGGCAGAGTGCCCAGAGATGGCAACTGGTCTTTTTCCTAGTGTCTGCATGTCAGGCCTGTTATTCTCCAGAATGACCACAAGAGGTCACTATCAGAATACAAATGTAACACCCAAGATTAATTTGAATTTAAGAACGGTGGACTGGTGGAGAGGGGAAAAAGGACAGGGTGAGAAGATCCTAGGAAACTCAGATGAGTGACAGGTCATAAGGATTAGGGGAGGTAGGTTAGGGGACAGGTAAGAGGTGTGTGTGTGTGTGTGTGTGTGTGTGTGTGTGTGTGTGTGTGTGTGTGTGTGTGTGATTGATGGATAGAAAAGTGAATTGGAGTTGAAGCTAAGGCATGGAAGAAGGTGGGGTTGCTCAGTGGCTGTAATCAGGGCCTTGATCTGTCCCCAGCATCCCTGGATGTTCCCAAGTTTGTGCCCAAGGTGGACCTGCAGGCTGATTACAACACAGCCAAGGTAAGGACAAGGGGCCCTCGGTAGTCTGAGCAGGGGAAGGTGGGGGGAACCTCCCTGAAAGGTGGGAGGGAAGGGTGGGCCCTGAGCCCACCTGTCTGTGTCACAGGGTGTGCTGAGCGTGGGCCACCAAGTGCTGAGGATCTCCCGGGCACTGCTGGACGGTCAGGAAATGATGCTTCGGGGGCTGCATTGGGTGGTGTAGGTACCTTGGGGTGGGGCTGAGGTGGGGGAGAAGGGACCAGATGGGGCTGGGGACCATCATCTTGGCTGGGTAGCAGTGGTAGAAGCTAGACCACCAGCCCCTTCCCCTTCCTCTGAGCACTCAGCCCAGACCCTCCCAAGATGAAAAGCTCTTACCTAATCACTACAGAGTTTTTACTGCCCTGACCCTACCCTCCCTCCCTGTCACCTCATCTTGTCCCCTCTCTGTGATCCCTATCCCTGACCTGATCCCCTAACCCTAACTCAAACCATCCTCTAGATTGCCTCACAGAATCAGGTGGCTTTCTAGACTTGAGGCCCTGAGCTCAGGGTGCTGGCTCATGGAGGAGTCTCTCACCTCCGCTGGTGGGGTGGGGTGGGGCTTGGATCTTATACAGGGAGGAGCTCAAGGCCACGTGTGGGCGGACCTTGGAGACCACCCAGACTGCCCTCTTGTTCCTGAGCCCCAATCTGGGCACTGAAGGGTAGGTGTCTGAACTAAAATGGAGGGGCGAAACCCCATCGTGATCTCCTGGCTCTCCTTGACTCCGTCCTGTGTCCATGCCTTAGCCTTAGAAATCCTGGTGGCAATGGCTGGAAAGCCTGGCTTCCTTTTCAATCTAACACCCTTTTGATGACTGAACCCTACCAGTACTCTAGGAAAGGGGTAGGTGGGGCCCCTTGCCCTTCCTAGCTGGACTCCCAGCTCTGTCTACCCCACTGTTGTGTCTCAAGAAAAGTCTTCTGGGGCAGCTAGGTGGAACAGCGAATAGAGCTCTGGCCTTGGAGTCAGGAAGGCCTGAGTTCAAATCCAGCCTCAGACACTTAACACTTAACTAGCTGTGTGACCCTGGGCAAGTCACTTAACCCTGACTGCCTCACCAAAAGAAAAAGAAAAAGTCTTCTTCTGAAGGAAATTTGAACTTGAACTTGAACTTGATGGGCTGCTAAGCCTAAGAGAGGCGGTGTCTGGGAGTCACCATGCAACAATCTCTCCCTCAAACACACACACATCAGCCAGGAACGAGGAACAGTGGAAAGATGGTTGGCTCTGAACTTGTAAGATATGGGTTCCTTATCTCTGATGCTTGTGTGACCTTGGAAAGTCACCTCAAGCTCCAGGCCCTTCATCTGTAAAATAAGAGATGACCAGGTCCAGATATATGGTCCTGTAATCTCCTTCTTCCTCTGGGCTCTCCTTCCTTCTTGAGGCCACAGCCCCTGGCCTCCTAACCCTCCAGCTCTTGTCTCCATCTCAGGCTTCTCAGAGGACAGTAGAGGGGAAAGGCTGGGGGGGGGGAAGGGAGGATAAGGTAAGAGATGAACCAAGCAGGTGCATCCTGGGAGATCTCAGACCAGATGCTGCTGCGAATGCCTCCGGGCAATCTCATTCCCCTAATGGGTTACATTTTGCCAGGGTTCACCTTTGGGCCTGAGCCTCTGTCCCAGGCTGGGAAGCCTGGATGACCAGGCTGTGAGCAGCCCCAGCCTTTCCAGTAGAAGACATGGACTGAGAGAGACACCAGGCATATCTAGCGATCTCTGCTCTTGCCCGGCTTGCCCCTGGGGAGGAGTTGGGAGTTTCCTTTGCAGGGGGGCTGAGTCACTTTGGCCCGACATCCCTGTCTTCTGGGACTGTGGCCTGAAAGAAATGAGGTCACCACAGCTGGGAAGCCTGTGCTCCAGAGCCACCCTTTTCTGAGGAACATTTAAACCATCCACCAGGAAGTCAGTTTGTTGGGAGGCAAATGGGGTCAAGCCTGCAAATTTGGATTATGCTGCTAATTTTCTGTGGCCTTGAACAACTTACTTAACCACTCTGGACTTCAGTGTCCTCATCTGTATAACTAAAGCATTGACTCCTCAGTCTGCATAGTCCCCTCCAAAGCATTTCATGGTTCCATTCACTTAGGAACATATTCGGCCCTTTGTGCTTTACTCTTTGAGTCTGAAACCACCAGCAATTTCAGCGGTGAAATTTGAGATGTTTTGATGATCTGGCTTTGACTTTTGGGGAAAGCCAAAGCCCTAGGCATCTAGGTGATGATGCACGAAGGCTTCTGTGTGTGGTGATTTTCCACCCCTTCTGCTGAATTCCTCCCCCCTTCCTTCCAGCTGTTTCAAGTCGAGCCAGCAAGTATTAATTAAGTGCCTATTATGTGCCAGGCACTGTGCTACACCAAAAAAAAAAAAAAAAGGCAGAAAACAGCCCCTGCCCTCAAGGAACTCACAGTCTAATGAAAAAGACAACCGATGTACATACAGGATGAATTGGAGACAATCAACAAGAAAGGCAGTAGAATTGAGAGGGATCTAAAAAGGGATCTGTAGAAGGGGTTAGCTGAGACTTGAAGGAAGCCAGGAGATGGAGATGAGGAGGGTGGGCTTTCCAGTGAAAATACCGGGACCAGAGAGATGGAGTGTCCTGTGTGAGGAGCAGCCAGGAGGCCAGCGCCACTGGATGGCAGAGTCTAAGACTGGAAAGGTTGGAAGGGGCCAGATTGTGAAAGACTTTGCTGAACAGAGGACTTTCTGTTTGATCCTGGAGGCAATAGGGAAGTCCCCTTCTCACCGCTTTTTGCTGAGCACCCTCTCCTTTAGTCAATGCCTCTGCCCCCTTGGCTCCTGACCCCCTTTTCAGACCCTCCCTTGCCTCCTGACTCAGTAGATTTTTCTTATTCTACCTACTACAGCTTACCAGCTCCTCGTTGAGTTGTCATTAGATTGCTTGGGAGTGAGAGACACTAGTGCTGGACTAGGGGTGGGGAAACTGGGGCCTTGAGGCCAAACCTGGCCTTCTAGGTTCTTGAGTGCAAGTTTTACAGAACAAATCATTTTATTAAAGGGATTTGTTCTATGAAGTTTGGATTCAGTCAAAGGGCCGAACTTGAGAACCTAGAGGGCCCACATGTGGCCTCAAGACCGAAGGTTCCCCACCTGTTCTAGACCCTATGGTTTTCCAGACTTATTTTATTTTATTTATTTTTTTTCTTTTGGGCAGTTGGGGTTAAGTGACTTGCCCAGGGTCCCACAGCTAGTAAGTGTCAAGTGTTTGGTCTGAGGCCGAATTTGAACTCAGGTCCTCTTGACTTCAGGGCCAGTGCTCTATCCACTGCGCCACCTAGCTGCCCCCCAGAATATTTTAAATCACTCCCCTTTCTATAGTATTTTTTAAACCTTAAAGCTCTTTCCTTGTAATGCACTTGTGAGGTAAGTTATGCAATGATTCCCAATTTATGGATGACAAACTGAGGCTAAAAGGTTAAAAGGCATGACCCGGGTCACACAGCTAGTAGAGGCTTCCAAGTGTTTTTCCCACTGCATGAACTGTCTCTTATGACTGTGAGAGGAGAAGAGGAAGCAAGAGAATGAAGGGTAGCATGCTATTGCTGGTGTTTACTTTCCTGTGCTCTATGACCTTAGGTAGGTTACCTGCCTATTCTTCTCCTCCACATGTCCTCGCCTCCCACTCCTCTACAATCTCCTTATATCAGCTCACCTCCAGTCTAAAGTTCAAGACTCCACACTTAATATCTGAGCACAGTGTGTATATGTACAATGATGGGTGGGGGGGGGGTGCTATTCTTTAGAAGACCCCTGATCAAGTCCCCTTAACCTTAATTCTGGGATCTAGGTAACAGGCAATGAGATATAAGGACTGACTCTTTTCAAACTTGAAATGACCCATTCACAGCTTGTAAAAGGAATGAGCAATTATATCTCATCATCTCTATTAACTGCACATTGCAGCCTATAATTTCATCAAGTGAATGAACTAGGTTGAAGTAATTCAGGTGATCAGGAGTCCCTTGACCAGGAATTTCTTAACCCTGCTTGTTACTCCAGGGCAGCAGCCCCATAGCCTGCTAGCTAACAGTAGATGGGTATAACTTCCACACCCATGTGGCCCAGAGAGAGAGAATTCAAAATATATCTGGAGAATATATTCTTCCTTGTCTCCAGGATTGCCTCCGTGACTGGGGAGTCAGAGGTGCCAGAGCTGAAGGAGGCAGCAGAGCTGAGGTCCAAGCTACAGACTGTGAGTGCACCTGGGCTGTGGGGTAGGTGGGGCCGATCGTTGACTTGGAATGATTTGGGGGAGGCCCACTTATCCACACCTCGGCCTCCAAGTGGGCATCTCTGATGGGCAAGAGAGCTACACAAACCCTTTCCTTTCTGCTCCCTAGATTAACGAGATCTTTTCCAGATGTTCCCAAAATATTATGGAGACCCAAACTAGTCTAAGCAGCCTGTCCTCTGAGCTGGTGAAGAACTGGGATCAGGTACATGAAGACAGAAGGTCTGTGGGATTTTCCTTTTTTGCGGGGTGGGTTGGGAGGAGTCATAATTCATAGAATCATAGATCTGCAATAGAAAGGGACCTTAGACATCATCTAATCCAACCCCCTTGTTTTACAGATGAGGAGACTGAGGCCCAGAGAAGCTAAGTGATTTGCCCAAAGTCACACAGGCAAAAAATAGCAAGGCCAGGTTTTGAATCCAGGTTCTCTGACCCCGAGTTCAACGCACTATGAAAATCTGAAAAGCCCCCAAATTCTTTTGAGATCCATTCTCTTTTCCTTTCCTGTGTGATGTCTTGTCCCACTAGCCTGAGTAATGTGTTAGGGGCTTAGAAAGATGTACATTGGGATGGGGGAACCAAGGAATATGAATAGCCCCAGTGAGAAGAGCCCAGATTAAGTCAAGCCTCAGAGGGGAGGAGAGATGGAGAGGTCGTGGGACTATGACAAGAATTAAGGCTGGGTTATTGATAAGATCCTTTCCTAGGCAGCAACCTTGCTATTCCTCTTCCCCCAGACAAGAGATATCCCAAAAGAAAGCCAGCCTTTTCTCCTTATCAAATCCCTCTTTGGCATCAGCGTACCCGGAGTCGCCCAAGAATTTGAATTCAGACCTTAGTGGAACCAAAACCCCACTCCGTCAATAGTTTCAGCTTTGGCATTATAGTCAAGATGAAATAGGAAGGAAGTGGGCCTCAGCTCAGAGGATGGAGTGAGACCCCTAGAGGGTCTTAAAAATAAAATTGGGACATTGTCTCTAGTCTAAAATGGGGAGAAGGAAGATCAGTTAAAATCTTGAAATACCCAGGGCTTTTATCAAGGAACTTTGCCTCTAGGAGGCACCCCCATAAACCATTAAGATACACAATATAATCTATCCTTTGGGTGAAGATTTGATAGACAGGTGGGTCTATAGATAGAAAGGGCATTTATTTAATTACTTACTATATACCAGGCATTGTGCTGAGCAGCAAGGATATACAAACAGCCAAGACAGTCTCTGCCCTCAAGGAGCTTACATTCTTTTTAAAAAATGTAATATTTTATTTTTCCTCAATTACATATAAAAAGATTTTAACATTCATTTTTAAAATAATTTATTTATTTTTAGTTTTCAACATTCACTTCCATAAGATTTTGAGTTTTAAATTTTCTCCCCCTCCTTCTCCTCCCCCTTCCCCAAGATGGCATGTAATCTGATATAGGCTCTACTTATACATTCATATTAAGCATATATTCACATTAGTCATGATATATAGATGAATTAGAACTAATGGGAGGAACCAGGAGAAAGAAGAAATAAAACAAAACAACAAAAGAAAAGAAGAGCAAGTAGTATGCTTCCATCTACATCCCGACTCCATGGTTCTTTCTCTGGATGGGGATAGCGTTTTCCATCGTGAGTCTTTTGGAGTTGTCTTAGATCCTTGCATTGCTGAGAAGAGCTAAGTCTATCAAAGTCAGTCATTGCACAATGTGGCTGTTACTGTGTACAATGTTCTCCTGGTTCTGCTCATTTCACTCAGCATCAGTTCATATAAGTCTTTCCATGTTTTTCTGAAGTCTGTCTGCTCATCATTTCTTTTTTTTAATTAATTTATTTTGAATTATCAACAATCATTTCCGCAAGCTTTTGAGTTTTAAATTTTTCTCCCCATCCCTTCCTACCTCCCTCCCAGTGGACAGGAGTTTAATTCCTATTAAAGATGGTTTAATTCCTGTTAAACATATTTTCACATTAGTGATGTTGTAAGTAAGAATTAGAAGCAACAGGAGGAACCATCAGAAAGAGGAAACAAAACACAACAGAAGAAAAAAAAAAACAGCAAATAGTATGCTTCAATCTGCATTCAAACTCCATAGTTCTTTCTTTGGATGTGGATAGCATTTTCCATCATGAGGCCTTTGGAGATGTCTTGGATCCTTTTAACATTCATTTTCAAAAAGTTTTGAGTTCCAAATTCTCTCTCTTCTTCCTTCCCTCCCTCCCCCTCTCCCCCATGGAGAAGGCAAGCAATTTGATATACATGTACAGTCATGCAAAACATACTAAGGAGCTTACATTCTGATGGCAGAAGACAGCCAACCCACAAAGGGGACCTGGAAAAAGTTGAGGAGGCAAATTAAGAACGCCTTGCTACTCTCTTCTCTCCCCCAATGCCATCGCCACTCCTGTGGTATGTGCCTCAGTGTCTGAAAGTTTCCTCCTTGAGTCCGATAATCCCAAGACCTCCTGCTCTATTTAGAGTATATGACATCTGGAAGACGCAGGAGGAAACCTTTGCTCAGTCTCCTCTGTGTGATAACTGGGATAGTTGTGCCTTTGCCAGAGTGGGGGGAGGGGAGGTGGGGTGGGCAGACAGAGATTATCAGGAAAGGCTGGTATGGGAACAGCTCTTGGCTGCCCCTCCATGACACCTCCTCCTTGACCAAATATCTTGGAAAAGCTGAGGTGGGGAGGGTTTCCTCTGGCCCCTAAGGCAGCCAACCTCCTTCCCCTGCCAAGGATTCTCTCTAATGCTATTTGACTTTCCTATTGGGGCCTTTCTCTTGACCCCCAGTACCCATCAGATTCAATGCTGCCTGGACAAGATGAATGTTATCTACAAGCAATTCAAGAAAGCCAGGATGAGGCCAGGTGAGCAGCTTCCTTCATTCACCTAGTTATTGAGGCCTCTTCCATGCCTAGTACAATGTGAGGCTGCAGAGAAGCATTGGAAGCTCTTGCTTTCATGGAGCTTACAGTCTAGTTGGCAGAGGATCAAGGCAGGAGGTGATACGACCTGTTGTGGCATTGTTGCTCAGGAGTATTGAGTGATGAGGTCATGAAGGGCTGTGAGTAGAGGGGAGAAGGGAAATCAGTAAGGGCTGGAGACCAGTGAAAGCTTTGTGGTAGAGTGGGCCTTGAAAAATGGATGAAAGACTAGAATGTGGATAGGGAAGGAGGGCATTGCAGGGGCAAAGCCCAGCAAGGTGGGGATAAGGGTAGCATATTCAGAGGACAGCACTGAAGGGCTGTATGTGAGCCAGTTATGATGATGGAGTAGGTTAATCTGGCCAACTGGAAGGAAGATGAGGCTGGGATGTGGCTATAAAGTTTTAAAGGTAGTTCATGCCCTGTAACTGTATTGTGGGAGTGGGAAGGGCAGTGTGGCATAGTGGAGAGAGGACTAGATTTGGATTTGTTTTTGAATTGGATTTGGGTTTTATCCCTGGCTTCCCTATTCAATAGGTATAAGACCATGACTAGCTCACTTAGTCATCCTGGGCCTTAGTTTCCACATCTATAAATAAGAATTGAGGCAGCTAGATGGCACAGTAGATATAGCACCGGACCCGGAGTCAGGAGGACCTGAGTTCAAATCTGGCCTCAGACCAAACACTTGACACTCACTAGCTGTGTGACCCTGGGCAAGTCGCTTAACCCTAATTGCCTGGCCAAAAATAAATAAATAAATAAAACAAACCCAGAAAAAAGGAGATTACAGTATTCTGGGCAGCTAGGTGGTGCAGTGGATAGAACACTGGACCTGGAGTCAGGAGGACCTGAGTTCAAATGTGACCTCAGACATTTACTAGCTGTGTGACCCTGGGCAAGTCACTTAACCCTGATTGCCTTGCTCAAAAAAAAAAAGCCTACCCTTGCCACTTTGGGAATAACTGGGCAGCTAGGTGGTGCAGTGGATAGAGCTTTGGCCTTGGGGTCAAAAGGACCCGAGTTCAAATCCAGCCTCAGACACTTGACACTAGCTGCATGACCATGGGCAAGTCACCTAATCCCAATTACTTCACACACACACACACAAGATTAAGAAATAAAACTTAGGGGGTAGCTAGGTGGCACAGTGAATAGAGCACCGGCCCTGGATTCAGGAGGATCTAAATTCAAATCCAGCCTCAGACATATAATACTTGGGCAAGTCACTTAATCCCATTGCCTAGCCAAAAAAAAAAAAAAAGAATGGAACAAGTTGGTTAGCTCCCTAGGGTCCCTTTCAGCTCTGGCATTCTGTGATGGGGTGGGGAGGTACGAGTATTAAAATCCAGTCCTATGTCCTAGCAGTTCATCCCTATCTATTCACTAACCTAAAACCCCTTAGGATACTTGGACCAGGCTTCTCCCCAAAGTGCCTCCCTTGGGTACTGGTGAAGTTATGCTTTGTAGAAATCTGATGCTCAGAATCAGAATTATTGAATCTCAAAGCTGAAAAGGATCTCAGAGGCTAACTAGTCTAATACCCACCAGAAAGAAGAAGGTTATTGACAATACTTCCAACAAGTGATCATCCAGTGTTGGCTTGAATACCTCTAGTGACGAGGAACTTACCACCTTATAAGGAGACTATCCCACTCTGAAATAGTCGTAATTGTTAGGAAATCTAAGCCTAGGGCTCTTTTTACCATCTAGAATCATAGATTGAGAAATAGAAGAAACTTTTCAAAATCATCTAGGCCATCTCCCTTATTTTAAAATTGAGGAAACTGAGGCTGGAGAAGTTATTAGCCTTAGATTATAAAGGTAGCAAGTGGCGGAGTTGGGATTTGAACACAGTTCAAGCTAGGTGTTGCCTAGACTTGGACCTGGAGTCAGAAAGACTGAGTTTAAATTTCAGGGCTAGGGAACCTGTGGCCTTGAAGCCACATGTGGCCTTCTAGGTCCTTGGGTGCAGTTTTTTAACTGAGTCCAAGTTTTACAGAACAAATCCTTCTATTAAGGGGATTTTTTCTATGAAGTTTGGATTCAGTCAAAGGGCCACACTTGAGGACCTAGAGGGCCACATGTGGCCTCAAGGCCACAGGTTCCCCACCCCTTGTTTAAACCCTGCCATAAACACTAGCTGCATGACCCTGGGCAAATCATTGAAATTCTCTGGGCCTCAGTTTCCTCATCTGTAAAATGAGGGGTTGGACTTGATAACCTGTTACAATGTTTGGCACATAGTAGGCGCTTAATAAACGTTTGTTGCCTTCCCCTTCTCTTTTATCTCTAAATCTGAGCCCAGTAACTCCAAATTCAGCCCTCTTTCCTTTGCTCCTAGCTGCTTCTCTTGTACACATTGGAGATTATATTAATCATTAGAGAACAAGGTCCTGAGGTCGCAGGACACAGGACAGGGAAGTGGGAGGTCGGGAAGGAACACCAAAAGGAAGATGGTGGAGAAACATCAAAGATGGCACTATCCTCACTGAGATTCCCATTAGCCTGGAAAGTCATATTCTCCTAGAAGACCAGCAGGGGGCAGCATTTCCTAGGGGAATGACCAAGATGGCCTTTTCAGTGGCTGCAGAGGAATTCAGGCCAAACTTGGGAGGGTCAAGAGTAATAAATAATAAATAATAAATAAATAAAGGCAAGTTCTTTGAGAAGAGGGACAGTTTCATTTTTTGTCTTGCTATCCCTGGGACCTGCCTGTGGCTATGCCTTGTAGATGCTCGCTAAATGCTTGTTGATAGAGGAATTATTGGAGCAGGTAGGTGGCGCAGTGTATAGAACCCTGGCCCTGAAATCTAGGAGGACCTGAGTTCAAATCCGGCCTCAGACTAAACACTTGACGCTTACTAGCTATGTGACTGTGTGACTCTGGGCAAGTCACTTACCCCCAATTGCCTAAAAAAAAAAAAATTTAAAAATTTTTTTAAAAATTAAAAAAATTGAAGATAGATGAATTATTCCACTGTTTTGGACTGAAGTGGTGATTATTATGGTGGACCCTATGCTTTTTCTTTTCTTTCTTTTTGGTGAGGCGATTTGGGTTAAGTGACCTGCCCAGAGTCACACAACTAGTGAGTGTTATGTGTTTGAACTCAGGTCCTCCTGAATCCAGGGCCGGTGTTCTATCCACTGACCTTATGCTATCTTACTAAACACCTGTGTTCCTAGTTGAATGAACGTGCTTCGCCTCAGCCCTAGGGCTCACTGGACAGTCACTTTGATGAGAACTGACTCTGATTCCCCTTTCTGCTCTTGTTTGTTTAGGGTTGGGCTACAATGAGGAACAAATCCACAAGCTGGATAAGTGAGTAATGCAACTGTGTGTGGGCTGGGTGGCTGGGAGGGAAACCGAGAACCCAATATTAGGGATGTACCCATGCACCAGCCTCCCCACTTCCTTCCTTGGCCATTGGCGCCCCCTTGAGGTGGTATGTCAGTCTTGGTCACGCCATGTCACTCTTTCTAACGCTGGAGGGGCTGATCTGTGCAATGGTAGATTGTCTGGTGTTAAACAGAGCATCTGGGAAACTATTTGCATCCCTGGGGTAATACAGGCCTTTTTAATGGCAGTCACAATGGCAGACATTTATGTGGCACTTAGCCGTATATTAAGCACTTTATATACATTATTTCATTTGACCCGCAGGATCAAATATAATATAATATAATATAATATAATATAATATAATATAATATAATATAATATAATATAATATAATACAATACAATATAATATAATATAATATAATATAATAATATAAAATAATATAATCTCCTTTGAAATGAGTAGTCCAGTTAGAAGTACTACCACTTTGCAGATGAGGAAACTGATGCTGAGAGATGAAGTGACTTATTCACCAACTCAGAATTTTAGAGCTGGAAGGGTCTGGTTAAGCTCATTTAGTCTGACTCCTTTATTTTTCAGGCTAGGGAAGTGAGGCCCAAAGCAGGGAAGTGGTTTATTCAGAGCAGGGTCAGGACCTGAGCCTCCTTACTGCCAGCCCAGTGTTTCTTCCCCTGGAGTTCCTGTCCTGGTGGTGTTTGTGGGGGATGGTTGTTATCGCCTTCAATACGGCACATCCACACAAAGCCCTCCGTGGCTCCCGTGGCCAGTGGTTGGATGATGCCTCCATCAGGAGGCAGGTCCAGAGGTCCAGTTTGCTCCCAGTCATAGAGCTGGGAAGTTCAATCTTCAACTCACTATTTTCATTCCTCTTCCTAGCCCTTTGTTGTCCTTCCTTCCATAAAATCCTGCTCTAGTCCACTCATTTCCTCTAGGAAAATATAGCAGTGTTGGAATTTATAGTCATGAGACCTGGCTCTGACACTAACTAGTTGTGTGACCGTGGGTATTAACCTCTCTGAGTGAGCCTCAGTCTTCTCATCTGTAAAATGGGGGTAGTAATACTCATCTTACCCACCTTTCATAAGCACTGTGAGGAAATTGCTTTTGTTGTTGTTCAGTTGTGTACAATTCTTTGTGACCCCATCAGAGTTTTCTTGGTGAAGATGCTGGAGTGGTTTGTCATCTCCTTCTCCAGCTCGTTTTACAGATTAGGAAACCGAGGCAAGCAGGGTGAAGTGACTTGCTTAGGGTCACACAGCTAGTAAGTGTCTAAGGCCAGATTTGAACTTGGGAAGATGAGTGTTCCTGATTCCAGGCCCATCACTCTATGCAGTATGGCACCACCTAACCACCCCTAGGAAATTGTTTAGACATTCTTTTGTTGGTTTTTGGTGTCGTGTAAGGGGACAGATGTGTCAGCCTGACTCACCTTCTCCGTTTAGAGTTTTAGCTTTTTTTCTCCCTCTTGAATGTGGCACCCATTTAGAGACAAAGTTTTAGATAAATCTGTTTTGACAATTCCATTTATTATTATGTTATTATTACATGTTCTTACCACCATCTCTATGATGATGATGGTGACTAGAGATTCTGGGGTTTAGGAAAGGGACCAGCTTTCTTTTCACTGATGACTTACATGTTGCTTTCTGCGTTTTGTTTTTTAGGGTGAACTTTGGACATCTGGCTAAAAGACTCCTGCTGGTTTTTCAGGAGGACTGTGTGCAGAAGTATCAGACAGCGCTCCTCATACATGGCAAGAGGATGAGGTAATGGGCGAGCCCGGGGTTCCTTCCTCTCCCCTGAAGCATCCCTTCCTTATCGCAATGCTCCAACATCTGGAGTAAATCATTTCAGGCCACCAGACGCCATCCTAGGCTCTCAAGGGGTCCACTCCCTTCCCCTCCCCCACCACCCCCTCAACATGACCCTTATTAGGGGCTTTGTCTGAGAAGCCGGGAGTGAAAATCTGCCAGAATCCTTGAGTCAGAAAGAAGAGCAGGGTGGTTCATGGCCATTAAAGGTGGTATCAAGGGAGTCAGAGAATGAGGTGGGGTTCTTCCTGGCCCTCCTCAACATGCCATCACAGCATCACCTCCATGATGTCATGGCCCTCTTTGAGAATGAAGGACAAACAACAACAACATGCCATCCTCTACCCTAGAGGGGCTTTGGGGGTCTGTCCAGTCCCTTTTAGATTCTGACCCCCCTTCCCTTTCTCTTTGACCAGAAATGATTTCAGACTCAACTGAGTATAGTGGGAGATGGTCCCATTAAAGCATCAACACAAATCAATAGGATATTGACCTGGAAGGATATAAAGCTCAGAGGCCATCTATAAAACCCTTTCATTTTACAGATGAGAAAACAGAGGCCCAGAGAGGGTAAAGTGATTTACGCAAGGTTACACAAGTAGTTAACATGATCTTGAGGAGTGAGAGCCCTGGGCTGGGAGACAGAGCTCCTTAGTCCTGCCTTGTGAAACCCTGGGAAAACTCAGCAACTCATCAACACTTTATTAAGCACTGGACAGAACACCAGGCCTGGAAGCAGGAAGACTCCTCTTCAGGAGTTCAAATCTGGCCTCAGACACTTACTAGCTGTATGGCCCCGGGCAAGTCACTTCACCCTGCTTGCCTCAGTTTCCTCGTCTGTAAAAATGAATTGGAGAAGGAAATGGCAAACTACTCCAGCATCTTTGCCAAGAAAACCCCAAATAAGGTCACAAAGAGTCAGACACAACTGAACAGCAATAACAATAACACACTTGGGATATGAAGACAAAATAGTCTGCCCTTACACACTTACATTCTGCTAACCTTTCTAGACTTTGGTCCCTACCACCACAACCACCTCCACCCCCAACGCCCCTCCTATTTGTATCAATCAATCAAAAAGCATTCTGTGCCAGGCAGTGTGCTAGTCACTGGGGATAGAAGGAATTTACAGCCTTATGGGGAAGACAGCATATACACATATAAAATAATTGGAGAGGGACACAAAATGAGGACTAAAGGCAAAAATGAAATCATCCTCCCTTTATGGAATTTACATTCTTATGGGGGAGACTATGCACCCATATACACACATACATAGACATATATACAGTATATCTATGTATACAGTATATACACACACACATATACACATTATACATGTATAGTATATTTACACATGCATCTATACACATATACACATGTGTATGCATAGTATATTTACACATGCACATATATGCACTGTACAGTATATACACACACATGCATACATATGTGCACACATATATTCACACATGCACATATATGCACGTGTATAGTATATATACATATGTATATGTATGTAAGCACATAACATATATTTACACATGCACATGTATACACATGTACAGTATATATACACATGTATACATATGTGCACATATCATATATTTACACATGCACATATATACACATGTACAGTATACTTACACCGGCACACACATATGTATACATGCAGATAGTATATTTATACCTGTACACAATTATGTACCTATACATATATGCAATATATACATGTGTGTATATATACATACATACATTTTATATATGTATTAACGGGTGCACAGGTGGGCATCAGGAAATGATCTTACAGGTGTGCCCAAGTCTTCTTGTTCTGTGGGAGGTGAGGGCAAAGCTATGGGCTTTGAACATTTTGGAAAGGGGAAAATCTGCTAGAATAGTGGATGGACTCTTCTCTCGAGCATTTCACACACACACCCCCAAACCCCCCTCCTAGATTTGTTTCAACTAAGGGTTACAGTCTAGCCCCTGAATTCATGGTCACGCATATTGTGGTTCTCACTGCTGAAGAGAAAGGCCATGAGGCAAGTGGGATCCCCCTCCCCCAACATCAGCGTCGTAATGGGATTCCTACCACATCCACATGGTGATTATGGGAGCAGCATCTAGTATCAGTCAGAATTCATCATCGTTATCACACCGGGGTCTGTGTGAGTGAGTGCACATCTGGAGGCGCAAAGGCATTGAAGAATGTAAATGGCTAGTTACGGGGATGCCGGTCCCCCGGGGGCCCAGCATGGGGTCATTGGGACAGATGTGGAATGATTGGTCCGTTCTCCCTGGACATCCTCTTGGCTATGCAGCAGCACAACATAGGAAGGCAGGCTGAACTACATGCTGCTGGGAAGAAGGCATGGCAGTGTGTCCCTGAGTCTTACTGTGCATTTTGTGTCTCCCTCCTCCCTAGGACGGTGCATGAGACAAGAAAACATCTCCGACTGGTCGGCAGCTCAGTAAACGCGTGTAAAATGGAAGCCCGAGAAGCCCAGGGGCAGCTCAATAAGGTGAGGTACCCTTCAGCAGTGCCAGGCGATACTTGACAGCCAGTGACTCCTGGGGTCATTGTGTCTGCCTTTCTGCTTCGGAACAAAACTGCCCTTCACTCAGACCAGACGGGTTTAGTTTAGGGGGCCGCTTTCCAAACCTCCGCCAGGGAAGTGATGCTTGTAGACACGTCTTACGGGTGGTGCCTGAGCTGGGGCTGGGGAGCAGTGGTGCTTCCTGGGACTGCTTTTGTAAGGCTGTGACATCCCTGGGTGGGAAGGGTGGGACCTGTCTGGGTCCAATGCCACGTCACTCTTCCAAACAGATGCCTTGTGGCTTCACTTATCCAGGTGGATTGTACTTCAGATGAGTAAGCTCATTCCTTCATTGTGTACAGGGAAGGAGGTACGAGGGCTTCCACCCTTCCCTGGCTGCTTGGTTTTGGGTGTGCTCAAAGTGATGAGACCAGAATAAGGACACCAGCCCTGATGAGCCATCGGAGGTCTAGATCAAGGACGCGTTCCTTCAGTCAAGAACCTTCCCACCCCCACTGTCCAACAGAGGCAGCTAGATTGCTGGGCTTGGAAGCAGAAAGACCCCAGTTTAAACCAGGCTTTAGGCACTTAATAGCGACGTGGCCCTGGGCAAGTCACTTAACCTCCGTCTGCCTCAGTTTCCTCAAGCACCGACCTCCCAGGGTTGTTGTGAGAATCAAATGAGATGCTATTGATAAAGCATTTAGCACAGTGCCTGGTCCACAGTAGGTGCTTAATAAATGCTTGTCTCCTTCACTCCGGCAGACACAGGAGTATATCCACAAACACGCACACACACACTCTACTTGTTTCAGAGGCTGGAGATTTCCCTGACCTGGTTGTTCTCAAATATCCTCACCTTGCTTTCCCAGCAGATTGTTTATGTTGCAGCAAGAAGAGTTTAGGTGAGGTAGAAGGAAGACCTTCCCAAAGGTCTGATGACTGAACACTGGTGAAGGTCGTTGCCCACTCACAGAATCTCCCTCCCCAGAGGCTTCTAAGACAGGGTGGACGCTCATCTTTCCAGGATGGAGGCAAGGGACTCCACAAGATGGCCTTTTGAAGTGACTGGAAGCTGGGATATGGAGATCACTGGGCAAGCTAGGGACCCGAGCAAATGGGTTTTTTTCCTCCCTTTCAGGCCCTGGACCGATTATCTCGTCGGCTTTGGCAGGGCAGAATGAAAGCGGCTCAGAGTTCTCCCCCTCCTTTTGCTGCTTATTCCAGACTCCTACCAAAAGACCTGGTTCTCCAGTAAGTTTGAGAGGGGGGCACCTAAGTGGCTCGGTGGATAGAGCACTGGGTCTGGAGTCAGGAGGACCTGAGTTCAAATCTGGCTTCAGATACTTACTAGCTGTGTGACCCTGGCAAGTCACTTAACCTCATTTTGCCTCCAAAAAAAAACCAAAAACGAAAACAAAAAGAAGTTTGGGAGGGCAGGGCAAGGGAAGGAATACCATTGTCCTGCCTTATGTTAAGTCTGGGTATAGGGGATCTCTTGTGGTATGGCAAAAGTGGACTTGGAGTGGACATGGGTTCAGGTCCTGCCCCAGACGTTCACCAGCTGTATGACCCTGGGCCCTACTTGAGTTTCATTTTCCTCCTCTGTAAAATTAGGGAGTTGGACCTATTGATCTTTCCGGTTCTGTCCAGGTCTAGATCTGTAATCCAATGATCTAAATCCCATGATCCTTTGGGACCAGCTCTGGAAGGAGCCTTCATGGCAAATGGGGTAACCACCCAAAGATCTGGATCCTCCCAAACTGCCCATCTGGTTGTGGGATTGGCTCCTATCGCTCCTGGCCTGAGCCTTGAATCTTTACTGTTGGTTCCCCGCACAGCATTCAAGAGCTCCGAGAGGAGATGAAGTTACTGGCCTTTGATCTCCAACATAATAATCGAATCATTGAGAGGTAAGGCGGTGAAGATCAACAGCATTTGTTTTCAGATTGAGCGGCCACGCCTCCCTGGTCCGTAAAGCAAGCACATCTCAGATTTCCCCAGCAGCCAGATATCAGTTTTGGCCATTTCCAGGTTATCGCGCTAACCCCGATGAATTGTTGACCTTTCTATTTAAGCTTTAAAATCTGGGAAACCATCCCAGAGTCAGATCAGAGCTGTGGGGGTGATTTGAGTTCCAGACCAGCCTCAGCCACTTGCTAGCTGTGTGACCTTGGGCAGATCACTTTACCTGTTTTACTAGTCTCCTGACCTGTAAAATGGGGATAATAACAGCACCTCCTTCCCGGGGTTGTTGTGAGAATCAAATGAGATAATAGTTGTAAAGAGTTCACTTAGCATGGTGCCTGGCACATAGTAGGTGCTATATAAATGCTAGCTGTTATTATTCTTATCACTTGAATTTTTAGTAAGTGTGTGAGGTCATGCCTCAGTCCTCCTTCAGGATGTCACGACCCACCCACCTCCCAATAAGCTATCTGTCTTTGCTCTTGGAACAAACTCTCTGACAGTGTATGGATCAGCTGTGTGGGGTTGTCATCTTTATAGCATCCTCTGTATTAGGAATCAGCATAATATGGTGGCTAGAGGACTGGGCTTAAGGTCAGGAAGTCTGAGTTCAAACTCCCCCTCTGATGGGCAAGTCACTTAACTTGGAATTCTCCTTTGTCTTCTCTGCTTCCTATTCCCTGGCTTCCTTCAGTATTCAGCTCAAACTTCCCCTTCTGCAGCAGGTCTTTCCCAGTCTTCCCCTCCCATTGGCGTCTTCCCTCTGAGATTACTTTTCATTTACACCGTGTCTATGTTGTACCTACACAGTTCTTTGCATGGTATCTCCTCCATTACATTGAGAGCTGCTAGAGATCAGAGACTGTTCCTTGACTTTCTTTGTATCCCCAGCACTCAGTACGATGCCGTGCATACAGTAGAACTTAACAAATGCTTGTTGACTAACTGGCTGGTCATGACCTTGCCCCCTCTTCTCTCTATTCTCCTAAGCTTTGGGGAGCAGAAATGGTCTGTAAATTGCTTGTCTTCTGCACAAGAAAATTTAAAACATGCCTTTTGTTTACAGGTTAAGTGGGGTCCCATCTGCCTCTGGGTCTTTGAGAGCTGAGAGTGAGGTAGTGGAATCCTGAACCTTAAGGGGCCCTGGGCTCATCAGCACTGTAGGGCAAGGTCTGGCCCCATCTTTTACCTCATCCTACTTCCCCTCAGGCCAGCAGGCACCAGCATTAACTCTCACTAGTCTTGGCCATGAGTTTGTTACACTATGAACCTACAGCACCCAGGAGTTCATCTCTTCACGGAGCTGTGAGGCACGCCCGATTTCTGCGCACCAACACTGACCTCTGTGTGTTATCAAGATTTGGTCCTTGCATAGCTCTGTCTTGCACTCTTCAGCTGGTACCAGGGACTGGGAAACTGGGGAGACAAGGTTGAGACAAATCCTCCCCATCCCCTCCAGGTTCAGAGGTTTGCCCTCCAGGGAAGAGGGCAAGAGGTTTTCTGTGGATGCTGAGCTAAGCTTTGGTCTTCCTTCCCTGAATGTATCTGGTGATAGACAACACATCACTCTACTCTGTCCTATTTCTCCTTGAGCCCCCTGGCTTCTGGTGAGAAGAAAAATCCAAGCCTCCTGGCTATTCTTCAGCCTAATTCCAGGTCCGTACAATCAGGCTGAAGAAGGAAACATCATCGTCCCAAAAGAGTGAGGACTGAATTCCTGGGCTATCCCACACACACCTCTCTGGAAGGCTTCAGAAGGGCCTGGAAAACACTGCCTTGCCAGCTAGCTGGAGCCCACATGCCCCGAGTCTGAAGGCAATGGAGAAGTGGTCCTGAAGGACCGCCGGAAAGGGACCTCAATCCCACTGAATAAACATGGCTTCACTTTTCTGTTTCCTTGTGTTTGGTGGCTAAATACAAGCTCTCTGGAGAGAGATCTCTAATGAGCCAAAGGGAAGTGGGAGAAGGAAATGATGGCAGAGTTGGAAGCAATGAGAAGTGAGGGTGGGCCCCTACAAATCATATCAAGCGGCATTCCCTGACATCATCCCTCACCCCGAGTTGCAGCCTCTCTCCCGAATGATTCCTGCTTTGAGTATTCCCTCAAAAAAGGAACCTTTCAGGAGACTGGCTGCCCACTGGTCTACTGCTAGGGGAGCCTCTGAAGGGTTGCATTCTAATCCTTCGGCCTTGTCATACCTGCCTGGCTCCTGTTTCGGGGAATGGCTTCAGCTCGGGGGTTGTTCTGTTCATCCCACCAATAAGCTGCAGCGTGTGTGAGATTCAGGCCTGAAGCTTTCCCATTCTCAGGCTTCACTGATCTCTACGAACTTCCTAAGGATTCCAGCTTTCCCTGAGGACGATCCAGGGAATCTTGTGCCTGGCCACAGAGCTTTCTCCTTTACTAATTCAAGACTTTCACTGATCTCTGCTCCCTGGTTTGAGACATGGAACCAACCCCTTTGGCATTTTTTGGTCCATAGACTAGAGTTGAAAGGAGCCCATAGTGCAGCTTGCCTCATCTTCCCTTGCCCCCTCATCTTTTACAGATGAGGAAATTGCCCAAAGAGGTCAAGCCTTTCCCAGTATCACCCAGGGTAGTCCTCACAGGCAAGATTTGAACTGAGGTCCTTTGCCTTGAGAGACAGGGTCCTTTCCGTCATATCACAATGTCTCCCTTAGTCAGACAACTGTTGCACCTGATCCTTAATTAGGTTTTCTGCCTTTTCCCATCTCCCTTCCTGTCTAGTACCTGTTCCTCCTTCCCCTTATCCTACCTGGGTCATCTTGTGCATAAAATTTTTATTTGTAAGTTTAAAAAGGCCATTTAATTTAGAAAAACTATACCAGGCTAAAGTAAATGAACAATCATATAAAAGATTCCAGTGCAGAACTGAGTTTCTAAGCTATTCTAGCCAGCTAATTATCTCTGGATCTAGTTTGAACTCCATGGTCCTTGTAGGTCTGGTTTCTGACTGGTGGTGCCTGTGGCCTCATTAGGACTCCCAAAATATATGGGAGTCTTCCTCCCCAAAGTACCCCAAAGTACTCAAAAACCTAGGCCCTCTGGACTGAGTTCAATCCCAGGTTTACTCTCAGCCAATCGGGAAGATGCCTGATTGCTGGCCAGTTTTTGATAATCTACCTTCACTCATAATAATGTGGCTAGCTAAAAAACTCTCCTTCTATTTAGAGTTGATCAGGTGGAAGAAGAAAAGAGATAGCCCTGATAAGACCCCACGAATCCACCAAGCTTTTCCTATCTTCCAGAAAATAGAATGCTTCAACCTGACTCAAATTTGATCCTAAGATTCACAAAAATACCTTTATTACTACTAAAAATAACTACACACGCCTAGTGCCGTGGGGTTTTCAAAGTACTTCATAACAAACCTATATGGTAGGTAGGGAAAGCATTTTTCTCCCTATCTTGAGGCACAGAGAGTTAGTTTAATTGCTCTTGGTCACACAGCTAAAACACATCAGGTTCAGGACTTGAACCAAGTGTCCGAACTCCAAGCCTGGTGCTGTTTTCCCTCCAGTTCCCTGTCTTTCATCATATTGCTACCCATGGAAGAAGAGGCAGGGTATTCCTTCCCTTCTCAGCTGCGTGGGGTTTGGAACTCTGGGAAGAAAGGATTTGCTCTCTCTTACCCACCTGGGTATCTGTTACTCTACAGACCACCAAAACCACGTTAAAAATTATTTTTTAAAATTTTAGGTCAAGTTTTAAATATTGGAGTTGAATAATGCTTTAGGCAGTTGTCTGGATTTCTTCATTTTATCAAAGAGGTATTCAGGGGCAGCTAAGTGTTGCAGTGCATAGAGCCCTGGAAGCAGGAAGACCTGAGTTCAAATCAGGCCTCAGACGCATAACACTTACTAACTGTGTGACCCTGGGCAAGTCACTTAACTCCAACTGACTCTCAAAACAAAACAAACAATAAAAAGGAGGTATTTGGGCTCACTTGTGTTCAGGATCCAGAAAATCACTACATTTGGGAGTTGGAAGGGGCTTCAGTGGCTCTCTAGTCCAACTAATTCAGACTAATTGTGTAAGCTTCTTGCAAATCCAGGAATTCCCAGATTTTTATGGGGAAATCCAAATTGGCTTCAGGCTAAGGTCTTCTGCTAACAGCTCTTCCTTCCCAGAATTGATTTCTCCCTTTTCTTAAAGGAATCCAGGCCCTAAGTATCTCTGCTAAGCTGAGTCCACTAAAGTAAGGTTGAGGACAAGAGGGGGGGAGATGAGTGGTATATTAATTGAAAGAGATGGAGGTCCAAGTGAGAAAACTCACCGTGTTTAGAATGGAAAGGAAAGCACCTGGGTAAAATATGAATCCAGATAGGAGTAGTATTAATAATAATGATAGCAGCTCTTATTTACAAAGAGTTTTTAGAGTTTCCAACCTACTTTATATACGTTATTTTGTTTGATTTTCCAAATAATTCTCTTGGGTGGGTGCCATTTTCCCAATTTTACAGATGAAAAAACTAAGGCTCAAATAAGTTAGTGATTTGCTCAGTACCACATGACTAATAAGTGTCTAAGATGGTATTTGAACCCAACGCCTTCCTGGCTCCAAGTTCATCCAAATGAAAGCCAAAACCAAAAATAAACAAAATAAACACTTCACAAGGCCATTCGTAAAAATGGACATATCTGGCTATTCTCTATAAACAGCAATGGAAGTTAGCAGAGGCAGCTCTGGAGAATAACAGGGCCTGAGTTTTATGTCCAAACCTGCCAATATGTTTTCTCTTTGGAAATACTAACTTTTATACATTGATGAACCTGTGATCTTATTGGGGTGGGGGTAGGGGAGCCTTCTCCACCTGTACAGATCCCAGCCCCTCCAAAGCTTCTCACTCAGGGCAATTCTTATCCATGTCTCTAGGTGAATTCTGAATAGAGAATCCACTCAACGTGCTAGAGGCCTTTATCTGGTTCTTCTGACATTTGAGAACGGAGAGGCATGGTGGACGCACTTAGGATGTCTGTTCTCCATCACTCTTACTTACCATATACCCACCAACCACCTTTTCTGATCCTTGGTGCTGTTAATGTCTTTCACATTGTTTCTTGCAGCAAGTCATCATGGGCAATATACTGTAGCCTGGTGGTGTCAAATTCAAATAGAATGGGGGCCACAAACCCATACATAAAGATTCCTTTGGACCACATATTGACTTAGTTTTAAAATGTATTATCATCCACGTTTTATTGTATTTTTATTTATTTTGCTAAATATTTTCTCATTACATTTTAATCTGGTTTGGGCAGCACTTGGGAGTACTTTGGGCCTCATGCAGCCCACAGGCCTCATGTTTGGCACTTCTGCTATAGCCTACTTATACCTACCATGCATCTTTCCATAATTTAGATAGATAAGCAAATAGTAAGATGGATGGATGAATGGAGATAGATAGGTAGATAGATAGATAGATAGATGATAGACCATTTATTAAGTTCATACTAAATGCCAGTCACCACATCAAGCACTAGGGATACAAATGTAAGCAAGCAAGACTGTCCGTACCCTCAAGGAGCTTACATTCTGATGGGGGAAGAGTGAATAAGTCATTTTGAGTATTATAAATACCCAAAGGTACATACATACCTTATATACAAAGGACATATGAAAGAAGATGCTATCTGCATCCAGAGAAAGAACTGATGAATGGAAGTATGTACAGAATTATTTTACATATGTAAATATGTATTTGTGTCTAATGGTAGCCATCTCTAGGATGGGGAGGGGAAGGAAGAAAAAAGGAAAATAAAAGAAATTTACAGGATAACTTTATTATATATTTAAAAGAAATAGCAAGTTGCACATAATAGATTTGCAGTTTCGTGTGCAATCACTTTTTTATTATACTATGTTATGGAAATGCTTGTTTTATTCCATAAATTAAAAATAAAATAAATAAAAATATTTTTAAAAAGAAAAGAAAGAAAGGGGAAAGAGGAGGAAGGGTACCTCCATGTGCCTGCAATGCAGCAGAGGAGGAGATAGAATCTAGAGATAGTCAAATTGAGAGTGAGAAGTGTGACTGAGATCCTTTCCAAACTGGTGTTTCCCAGAAAAAGAGTCATCAGTGAGAAGAAGATGACTACAGAGAGAAGGTTTTCTAGGTGGTGTAATAGATAGAGCTCTAGAACTGGAGTCAGGAAGACCTGAGTTCAAATTCAGCCTTGAACACTTACTAGCTGTGTGACCCTGGGCAACTCACTTAATCTCTGCCTGCTTCAGTTTCTTAATAATAGTACCTACTGAGATAGAAGGGAAGGCAGATTAGGAGAAGGGGTATTCAGAATGCATGCCATTTTGGGGTGGGGGAAGGGATGAGATGGGGAGAAAATTTGAAACTCAAAATCTTGGGGAAGTGAATGTTGAAAACTAAAAATAAATAAATTAATTAAAAAAAAAAATGATAGTACCTACCTTCCAGGGTTGTTGGAAGGATCAAATAAGATCATATTTGTAAAGTGCCTAACATACATTCGGCACTTAATAAATGTTTGTTTTCTTCCTAGGAAGGAAGTTTCCATTTGTTGTTTGAGTCATCTGTAATTTTCCCAATGCTGTTTAGTTCTAACTGCTCCTCCCATTTATTTCTAAGTACAGCTCTTTCTTAATCTTCAGTATTCGTGTGTGTATGTGTGTGCGTGTGTATACACGTGTTTGTATACATATATCTATACACATATATCATACATATATCTTTAGGTAAAATATATACATATATATGCATATATTTCATTTTTTATTCATATTTATATATATTTACACACACCTACACACTGATCAACTAATTTAGTGTGCTGCCTGTCCAGATTCGTGTCTTCATCCAAGCACTATGCATTTATCTCTTTAGAATGACTATGGA